ACAGCCCGGCTCAAATACCTCTTCTGTTTCTAGACCCAAGCTTCACCCAGCCCTCTCATCCACCCATACAGATGTTTCCACATCAGTTGATAATCCAGCCTAGCCCCCTTATGCCAGGGATTAACACTCGCCCAAGGCCCAATCCAGCCTCATGAGGGCTTGGGACAGAGGGGGGTCAAGAAAAAGGAGGCAAGATGGAACTAAAAGAAAACATCCGCATCAGTACTCCTGTGGAGTAATCAGTTTGCTTTTCAAAGCCAAATTCTGCAGAAAAATATATTAAAAAACATGTCTGACTAAAACCTCTTTTATAATTCACCTCTCCTGAAAAGTGCAACTTCTCTCAAATTACAGAAGAAACTACTTTTAATACACGTTTGACCATCTCTTCAGGAAAAAGCAATCTAAACTTTGACGTACAACAGCTCAAAGTAGCATCAGGAAAGAGCATTTGAAATCCATCCTGCGTCAGGAGCAGGTTTTAATGACAACAGATGGCTTGACAGGATTAAGAAACACACACAGATGTGTGCATTTAACAGACACACAAACACTCGACATAATGAAACCATAAGGAAAAACACGGAAGGAGATTTAGAGTTTTGAAGCTATTTTGTTAACAATTCAACTTAATACACCAAAAAAACTAGGGTAGAAGTAACTATCCCACCCTGCCTGGCTGTATCGTGCTTTATTCTAATTAGTTTAATTGGGTGCTTAATTTGCTTTCCGGCGCTTGGCATCCTCTGCATACCTCAGTGTCCCTGGAGTGGATCGGTGTTAAGCCCTTTTCTCATCTTTTAATTTTATTTGTTTTACTTTTCTGAAAAGTTTGACTTAATATTGATGAGTTAACTGAAAGTTTTTTTAAAAATAGCAAATAAGGAATAAATGCAGAAAATCTCGAATATCCTACCAAGGGTGTTAAAGCCATTCACATGCACATATCTGTACATGTGCCCTGAGCTCCGTCTGACAGGCCTAATGCATCTTTCTGTAGGTGATCCATTGAGCTGCTTCATAACGCAGCACAGCGCTAACATGGCTTTGATTAAACTCTCACTAATTAAAGTCTCCCTCATCTTATTAGCCGGGCTAATTGATTTAATTTGTCTTAGCTCAACTATTGGCTGTGACCTCTACTTAGTTAATGAATTAATTGATCCAACCCGAGTGTATTTGGAGGAGTCAAAGCGGATTTTTGACATGTTGCCCCTTTAATCTTGCTCACTCTGGACATCCCACACAGGCCGTGATGGCCATGTATTGGCGGTCACTTGAGTGGAGAGCTGTGGATTGCTATTTCCACTCCACGCGGCTGCAAGAACAGAGTTTTGGCCTCCTGCAGTTTGTCAGTGAGTGAAGACACAGCAATAGCAATGACGTTTTAAAAGCACCATCCTTCATTTACTTTCAGAAACTTAAAACCTACGCAGCATTTTCATCCCTGATCAACCTCCACCTCTGAAAAAGATCAGGCAACACTCCAAGGGTCTTCACATTTCAGTGGAAGAAAAATATGAGTCAATAATATTGCCATAATGCATGATTAGAACCAGTACACATCCTTTACAAGGGCACTTGGATGCCTAAATCACAAGCGTTCACTTTATTGACATCATTTTTCTTTATAATGGTGTGAGACAGAGGAGCTTCCTCAGCTTGGGCGCAGTTATTAACCAGATGTAGGGGGAGCATCAGCATCTAAACTTGGCACTATTTAGTGCCAAATGCAGCTGTAATGGTGCTGCATGTGGCCATTTATCAAAGATAATGTAGGAGCTGGAATTTGTTCAAATATACATATATATTAAAGGTAGAGAGAGCTTGGAGCTATAACCTTGAATGTGATACAGACTACAAAAGCATTGGATTGAAAAGCAAGAGTTACGCAGGGTAAAACATGAACAAACAGCTCCCTCTAGTGTTAAAAACGTTAAAATGTTTCCTCAAATCTCCAAGTCTAGTCTGTTACTCCTCAGACATACAAATAAGTCTTTAAGCTGAATGGAAAAAGAGAGCTCAAAGTGAAAACCATGAAATACTTAAGGCTGAATCATGAAACTTTATGCTGTAAAACTTCTCTTTCTATTGTCCTCATTTCCTGTTGGCAGATTACATCTTGTTCAAAAGGCTTTAAAAGATTTTGCTCCTCTGTGTATTTCCTGTCATTAATGTCCCAGTCAGATCACTGGGGTCTTTTCCTGCTTTTCTTCCAGCGTTCGTAATGTGCTCTTCAAAGCATCGAGAGGAACTTACTAAAGCATCAAACTCACCTGTGAATACAAAAACTATCTATGAATTGTTTCGTCTCTGTGTCAATAATCTAAATTCCCCATCCCTTTTGTTCTTATTTGCAATGAATAAAGTTGAGTTAAAGCTTATTTATTTATGACATGGCATTCAAACTCAACTATAACATAACTATAACAGTTCAGGATGATGCCTCAGTGATGTCAATAGGCCAACATATATTAATAAGACCAAAAATAACAGCTGATGTGAGTACAGTGAAGCAAGCGTCCTCAGTTTACTTAAAACTAAACTCTGAGATTATCAAATTTTAACTCAATAACTTTTAAAGGTAGCTTCTCCCCTTATGTTGAAATGCTAATGTTAGAAAATAACTTTCACAGGCTCAAAAGCTTTTCTCTCAGCGGGGACAAAAAATGTCACAGCCTATAAAGATAAAGTGATCCCCTGGTGGTGAAAAAAACTGAAAAGCACAATTTAAAAAAAGGTTCTTGTGGAAACAAAGCATCTGAACCAAGTAAAAAAAAGATTTATAATGAAAATAAAGTGGATATTGACAAGCTGTTGTGACTTAGATGTCATCACACATGGATATTAAAATTATTACTAAGTGAGATTTGTCTCTTCGATACAGCAAAAGAAGTCATGCCTTTTTCTCCTCAAGTGAGGTTTCTGAGGTATTGCTTAAAACAGTTAAGGCATTGATAAACTAAAGATCAAGTTCGTACAAAATATTTTATCAACAAAGAGAAGAGAAGATGACATTTGAGAGCAGCTCTCCTCAATGAATTTAACAAATGTACCGACACGACCCTGAACAGTTACGTTTTTTTTTATCAGAAAGCCTTCATGGGGATATTTTCTGGAAATTAACCTTTTTGGAAGTGGCATTATGTCACAACACTGCTGACAATACACTAAATAACTGGCTGGTGTTAAGTGAATTTCAAAGCCACAAAGTTGCCCAGTCATGGTGCCATTTATCAACAATCCCGTTCCCAAAATAAGATGGGACACTTTGTAAAGTTTGTAAACCTTGATCCAACTCAAACAGCTTCAAACATTAAATAACTTTTACAGAGTTACAAGTAGGGCTGGGCGATAAAATGATCATGATATATATTGAAAATTAATTTCCCTCAATATCAATATAAAACATGGTCAATATGCTTTTCAATAGTCGGCATTCTGCCATGTTTTGGTAGACTATACAAACAGCCAATGAAAAAGGGAGTCTGCTTCGTGCTGAACCAATCATGCTAAATTAGAACCAAGTAGCAAACAACTCTGTCGTCGCAGGCTGCAGCTACACGCAACCATAGCACTTTAACAGGTGAAGCCAACCCGACAGAAATGCAGATGAAGGCTCAACAGATGATGAGATCGTCGACAACACTGGCACGAAAATGTCGGTGGTGTGGAGGTGTTTTGTTTTTTGAGGTCGGACATGAAGCAGAGTAATGTGCACTGCAAATTATGTCGAGTACATGGTCTCGGAAAGTCAGGGAGTACCTCAAACCTTTTTCACCCCCTGAAGCAGTGCCAAACAGCAGAGTAGGTGCAATGCAAAAGGTTACAAACCCCGAGCAGAGAAGGGAGCTCATGGCACCTGTGCAGCCGAAACAGCCGACCATTCAGTCTGCCTTACGACAAAACGTCAAAGAGACACAAAGACCTCACAGATGCGGTAGCTTATTGTTTTGCAAAAGACATGCTACCAATAATCACTGTTAAATTTCATTTTTTACATTGTGATGTAAATAAACACGACTGACATAAAAAAAATTACCATGATAAACTTTTTCCCATATCGCTCAGCCCTGGTTACAAGTTATATGTGCAAGTTAAAGACCACTTCCAGGTATCCCTCAGCTCTTATTCTTAAATTAAAAGGGCGGGAATCTCAAATGCTGTTTTGTTATACTTCTGTGTTTAAAGTTGTTCCTCCGAATCAAGAATGTCTCAAATTTATTACAAATGTAGTCCTCCTGTAAAGACTGAAATCAAGCCATTTCATGTTGAAACAAAACTCATGTTAAAAGGTGACACTAGCATCCAGCCACCAATATAGATGGTAAGCTGTCCTTCTTCCTAGTCCTTTGTCGAGATGTAAACCAAACTATCAAGTGATTGACCATGACATATTGTGCTTTGCTTTCTATTTTTGTGAGGAATTGATTTTTAAGTTGCCTTCACACTTGTTCATCATGAAAGATAGGCATTATTGGGGAAACAAATTGTCTTTTTATCACTCACTGTTACAGGAAAACTATAAATTGTGGATGCATACCCGCATTGGGCCTCCTCCTCGAGGTAGGCCCCATCTACCAAAACAGTCAATTGCCTGAGTTAGGAGGTAAACTATGCCATTAATTAAGTTCCCAACATTCAGATTATTATCCAAGCTCTTACCAACAATCCAGTCAGAAGATTTTTCCATTAGTGCATTTGAAGTAACATAATACCCTTTGGAAAAATGTGCTTACCTGTTGAAGGAAAGCTTGTGTTGGGAAATCCCTGGTTCTCTTCAAACTAGAAATCATCTGAGTTTCATTTCCCAAATGAATTGTGGCCACACTACACATTTTTTACAAATACAGAAAATTCCCCTGCGTAATGCTTTCTAAATACATGTTGTCGGGAAATATTAAACGATTACTCAACAGTAAGTATATTTTTAAACTCTCATTCACGGTGAGCGTGCTTTCATAGCAGCAGCAGCAGCAGTACTTCCCCTTTAACGCTGCAGACAGGCGCCGTCACAGCAGGATGACTCGTTTATTTTGCGACAGGACGTACAGGCACCGGCTCTCCGCTCTTCTCGTGAAGAATTGAGCCTCGCGGAGACGAAAAAGAAATAAAACCTAAAGTGTTTATGTGAAAGCCAACTAGTTTTAATGCGGTACAATGCTGCAGTCGACCACGAGTCAAACAGCAGCTTTATCGGTGAGGAGGAAGTCGCCGTTAGTGTTGCATGTAAGGTTAGCTGTGCACGAGCGCTTGTTTACAGTGCTCGTGCGATAGCGTTGTTAGTGCTAATCATACACTTGACACATATAGCGTAGCTTTCTACTCATATTCAGGCATAAAACTATCTGATATCACACTTAAGGGTGTTATTTTAGCTTTGCAAAGACGACAGGCCTGTTTTTCTGGAGGTCTGCCGTGTGCATGGTGAAAATGGACATAAACCGTTATTTCATTCTTGCATGATAACGATATCTGAAGATATTTAGTTACTCTGATAGATACAAAACACTAAGATCAATAATGATTGACTGTACATATTGTGGTTGCACTGCACTTGTGATTCTCATCGTCACAGGTTAAAATGCCTGGAATTTAGGGGAGACCAGGGCTTGTTGTCGCATGGGTGAGTGTCCTGTCGTTTATTCTACCGTTACCGGCACGGCTAACAGTGTAGCAAGGCTAATAGCAGGTGGCTAACTCTACCTTTAGCTTTAGCTCTACCTTAAACATCGCGAAGTGGGTTGAACTGAAACTTGTTGACTTGCTGTGTATTTCACAAACTGGTTTATTTACCGTTGAGGCAGACCGCTCTCTTCTGTGCGTCCCTGAGCTGCCTGCTTCAGATCCGTCACTCTGCTGTGCTGTGAGGTAGTTAGTGGATAAACATTGTCATGAGGTCGCTGCGCCATCTACAGAATAAGTCGGGGAACTTTTCAAATGGTGGATCATTTTTGAAGTGAAACCAATGTTTATTCTCCGCATTTTATTTCTGAAAATATCGGTGAGTTTTGGCTGATTGCCGATTCGTCTCAAGCGGGCTAAAATTTGCCCGAAAAACTGTATATACTATGGACAACTTGGTTCCGCCTTTCACCAGTATAAGGATTTGAAGCCAAGAAGCTCTCAGTAATTCTGCGCTTTTTCTCTATTTCCTGAAACCACCACTCGCGCAGTAGCAATGTACGCATTTGACGGGAGAGTCACCGAAAGTTGCTGTGATGACACTCGGCTCAAACAGCGTATCCCCCGGGTGAGCTACGCAATCTTTGTACACCCATAGGCTGTATCAAGTGTCTCGGGCATAGAAAAACCTGAAAACATGAACCCCCTTATAAGTTTTAAAACCGGAGCTTCACAGAAAAAAGAGGACTTGAGCACAAACTAGTCTTACAATAACTACATGTCAACATCACAATCAAGGGGGGAGAAAATTATGTTCTGTGTAATAAATTTCTACAATTTGTCAACAACTTCATAAGCTTTGCTGGCGGAGGCGGGATTTATGACCTATACTGCAGCCACCAGAGTGTGCTGTTCTCGGAGTGGCTTCACCCATCGAGGAGGCGGATGCTGTCCAATCTATATACAGTCTATGGTCATGTCCTGTCTGAGAAGAGAGGAGCACATTGTGAGCTGAGATGAGCGCCAATTAACTATTTCGCACAACCTGAATTAAAAATTTAACTTCATATATTTTAAAATAAGCTTCTTCCAGATAAAAATCCTAGCAGTGAAACATGTGGACTTGTTAGAGGAGAGATGAAGACATCCTGTCATACCGCAGTCATCGTTCTGTTTTAAGATAACTTTAAGCTAGAATTAGAAAACATGGTAATTAGAAAACAATGAAAGTTTGACTTTATTTTTACAGAGAAAAGAGTGGTTTAAAGGAGAGGAGAAAGCAAGAAAACATGGTCAGGATTTACAAAAGAAAAACAGAACGTGGCAGTGCAGTTCCTGACGTGATGCTGAGGGCAGGCAGGCAGGTGACCCTAGCTAATAAATTAATCTGGAGGCCAATAAAGGACTTTAATGTCAACTACCATGCCTTGGCTCGGTACTGCAAAACATTAACCCCAGCTGAAATACAGAGTCAGACAGATCTCCAAACTCCAGAGCATGTTGCATAATATAATTAATTTAACGTTCGTTCAATGACTTTTTGTAGCTCAATGATAAACATTTTCTGTGCCTGACTTTAATGTTCACTTTCATGTAAAAAAATGAGAACAACAATAATTTTGTCCTTGTTTTATTAGCAGCAAAATCCACTGTGACATCTCACCCCATGTAGTGAGACAACTTACCTGATGGTGGGGCAACGTCACATGTTCACACTCTCCGTTTGATTTCTTATAACTCTGCACTGACACAAGATATGAAAATGACATGAATACAAAATATATACCTGAGACTTTTGTCTTTCACATGGTACACATTTTGTTAACATATGATGTATTGATTCCAAGAAATATATCAAAGTGTAAAAAGTGTGACAACAAGCCCCGGTCTCCCCTATGTATTTTTGTGGGCGCTAATATGTTTCATGGGAATTGTGCATTGATTGTAACTAATTTGTGATGTTTTTTCCACAGGTCTTTGTCACAATCAGAAGAGAGACCGTCACTGAATTAGAGTTTACAGCAAACAGACATCAACATCTCATTCCCAGGCTCCTGTAAGAGCCACTCTCTGCACTCCAACCAAATGAAGTTAACTCCTTCCAAAGCAGCAGAACCCACAGAGGACTCCACCTGTACCACCTGGAAACCCTGTGCACTGTGCTGGGCTCCGGTAGCCCACCCATGCCTGTGATCCCAATCCCACGGCGGGTGCGCAGCTTCCATGGCCCCCACACCACCTGCATGCACTCGGCCTGCGGGTCGACGCACGCCTCCAAGCTAGTGCGCACAAAGTACAATAACTTTGATTTGTACCTGCGCTCGCGCTGCATGTACAGCTTCCTGCGTTTCCTCCTGTACTTCGGCTGTAGCTTGCTCACCTCTCTGCTCTGGGTGGCGCTCTCTGCTCTCTTCTTCCTGCAGTACATCAGTGTCCGTGTGCTCCTGCGGCTGCAGTACAAGCTGTCGGTCATCCTGCTTCTGTTGGGGCACAGGCGGCTGGACTTTGGGGTGCTCAATGACCTGATTATCTACAGCATGCAGATCACCATGTTCCTGGTGGGGGGACTTGGATGGTGCTTTATGGTGTTTGTGGACATGTAGTTGCAATGTGAGTGCAGTTGTAGTGTATGATGTGGATGTTTTAACCTGTAACTTCAGCTTTGTGTGGTGTTATGTGACAGCATACACCTGTAGCGTGTCCTGTAGGACTGCTCCGTCTGGCTCTAAGAAAACCTTTTGACATTAACCTAAAATCTTATTACTTCAGCTTCTGTTATGAAAGGATTTGTGTGACATCTGCGTGTACAGTCTGTAAGAATGTCAAATCTGCATAATTCAGAGAGAATAGCCTGGTGCTCCAAGTCAGTCTGAATGTGAGAGTCAGACTTCTCTCATCACACGTGACTCTTAAGTTAAAAACTATTTTCATGTCATTTTTTAAATTGTTTTCATGAATTTATTTCTGTTTTTTGAATTGAGAAAGAAATCATTTCTACACCCATTTGTTTACAATTATAGAAAATGACAATGTTGCATGGAAAAGTGACTCAATATGTGACCAATGTGCATCCTGGCAGTGTGATGCAAGACAGTCATTTGTGCCAAAACACAAGTTGAAATCCAAAAGTGCTCCATGGCTCCAATGGTAGATTTATATACATTTTAAATGATATAAGATGATATCATTTAAACATATATATGAACCACAGAGTCAAAGCTAACACACTGTAAGTTATGGTGGATAAAGTGACCAAAAAGGGAAGTGTCAATAATGTGTGTAGTGTGCTTTATGTGACAAGAGAAGGGCCAACTTGATGAACAAGTAACACATTTACTTCTTTTTGTAAAGTTATTGAATAAATTTGCCATTTCTGAAACTCTTTTGTCCTTTAAAAATGCGTGTGTGAGTCAATGTGTCCACTGTCTTGTGTAACACTCCCAGTGGCATGTCTCGAGCCATGTCATAAGAGTGTGTGACAGTTCAAATTGAGAGCGTCTTTGGGTCAAGTGTCCCATCAGTTAGTGGCTCTTATGTTTTCTGAGCTGCTCTGACAGACTTCTCTGTTTAGCTTCCTCCGGCACGCAAACGCCAGCCACAACTAGACCCCGGCTGTTTGTGCCAAGCATAACAATGGACATGGCTGTGTCCCAATCACCTTATATAGCCTCATTTCCACATAGTGTGGAGAATGCTTATGGGGTCCAATGAGGGCAGACTGAAGCATTGAAATCAGTTTTTCACTTTTAACTTGGTAAAATTGTGAGGATTCGCATTCAGATGACACATATACACGTTTGTACTTCAATGTTTATTACTGACGAGAGCAGGAAATCCAGTGACAGAGGCTGGAAACTACCAAGACGCCATCTTTAGATATGAACTTTCGACACAGCGGCTGAGACATAGTTTAGACTGGTATGGCCTCAGGGTGTAAATGGATAATCAGCGAGCAACAACAAGCTTTTGTTCTGAGGATCAACACATCATATGCCTCACGGTCTGAGTCAGGCCCACTTACAGCAAAGCAGAAAAAGAGAACATGAAGTATCTTGTGATGACGGTGGAGTGCAACATGTAGTTCTGATGATCAAGTTGTTAATTTCATTTCTTCTTTTTGTTTTAAAAGCTTCAGTTGGGCCTCTGACTGACTTGGCTTTTTGCTGCTCTTCTGTTTATTTGGTGCCTCTTTGTTTTAGCGCACTTAAACCCCAAATTCACAAAAAGATACATATGTGTAAAGGATGCAAAACATGTTTGAAATATGAATGTTTTAACCACCAGAAATGGCTTATTTCACACAGTTATACGCTTGCCGTCGAATTAAGTTTGTTTGATCAGTCATCTAACATTTGAAAAACTTGGAAAATCTGCTGTGTAGTTAAAATGACCACAGGAACTCGCTGGAGAAATCAAAATCAGCTGCTTTTTATGAGGTTGAGGACATTTTTTATTACTGTACCCTGAACAGTAACCCATGGTGAAAAATCTTTAATTTCTTTGTATAATTAATGGGAAAATAATTATTTTTATGATAATGATGAACTCACCACTGAGTACCACAGACGTATGGTACTCCTAGGAATAATAGATGGTTGCATATGCTAAAATAGCTCTCTATACTCTGATTGCACAGCACTGATTGGTTAATTTCTTATCACTGTGCAGACTGGTCGAGGTCACCAGCTGGACAGGAAACAGAAAACTTTGCAAGACTGGTCATGAGATAATCAAGTGTAACAGACTGATATAGTTTCCAGTCCTTTCCATGCTGAGGGGTCCTAACCCACAAAATCCACCCCACCCTACCTTCCAGGAGTCACAAGATGATTAAGGAGTTAGTTGGAAAAAGCACAAAACTTGTCTTATGTTTTTTTCCTCTCTTTGCAGTTTTTCTCATATTTATGGCCCTGTGATAACAAAATGACAAAATGCAAAGCAAATTGAGGCATAAATCTTTATTTATGTGAACTCCACTTGTTTACCTCACTATATCTTCACAGTATTTGGGACAACACACAAAATCAGTATGAAAATATAAAAGTATGAGCCTACCTGTTCTGACAAAGCGAGGTTGTCAATAAAAGTAGAGCCTCTACATAAATTAAATCACAGTTTTACCTTTTCTGAGCCACAGGCCCAAAAAATCAATCATTTCACAAAAGGGAAAGTCCTTTTAGTCTAGTATTTGTACCAGACATATACATTTTACAACTTTTTTGCAAGGTGTGGTTATGAGTATAAATTATGTCAATAAAATGTGGGCGATAAACTGTTGCCTTATGTTTGCTTTTTTCTCTCTTTGCAGTTTTTTCTCAGATTTATGGCCCCATGATAACAAAATGACAAAATGCATAGCAAAGTGAGGCAGAAAACTTTATTTATGTGAACTCCACTCGTTTACCTTACCATACCGTCAGAGTATTTAGGAAAACAAACAAAATCAGTGTAAAAAAATATAAAATTATCTTATCTGTTACAACATATCATTAAAATCATTTGTGTGTTGTCCCGTACCATATTTATTCTGTTATTCTGTTAAAAGAATCTCAGGTCCATATGTTTACATTGTATATACCTCATACTATTCTTGCATATTTCTATTTCTATATACCTAAACATGTGCAATATTCCAAATCATTGAAGGACAATATAGATTCATTTGCACATTACATTTATGTTATTTCTGTATATTTACCATATTTATTCTGTTAATTAGGATCTCAGAACTGTGAACTTTATATTTTATACTGTTACATATTACACCTATGCACATCTGTACCATATTTATCCTGTCAAAAGAAATCTCAGGTCCACACGTTTACATTGTATATACTTCATATTAATCTAGTTTCATATTTTTCTATATTTTTTATCTATCTTTTTATCATGTCTTGCACTGATATGGGTGGCTTTAATCTCATTGTACTGCATATAATGAAAATAAAAGGCATTCTGATTCTGATTCTGAAAATTAGAGCCTCTACATAAATTTAATCACAGTTTTACCTTTTCTAATCATATCACAAGAGGGAAAGTTGTTTGAGGGGCAGTGTGACTTCCTTCTTGTCTAGTATTTCTACCAGACATATACATTTTCCAACCCTTTTGCAAGCTTTGATTATGAGTGTAAAATATGTCAATAAAATGTAGCCGATAAACGGTTGTCTGTTTGCTTTTTTCTCTCTTGAGAAACAAATTATTAAACATTATGCATTATGACAAAATGTATAGCAAATTGAGGCAGAAAACTCTATTTTGTTTACCTCACTATACACTCACAGTATTTGGGAAAACACACAAAATCAGCATAAAAATATAAAAGTATGAGCCATAAATTAAATCACAGTTTTACCTTTTCCAAGCCAGGGGCCTAAAAAGAGGCAAAGTTGTTTTAGGGGCAGTGTGACCTCCCTTTTGTTTAGTTTCTCTACCCGGCATATACATTCTCCAACTCTTTTGCAAGGTGTGGTTATGAGTGTAAAACATGCCAATAAAATGTGGGCGATAAACTGTTGTGGATATGTAGGAGGAGAAGTGAATCATGAGATAGAAATAACACACCATGTGGTCAAATATATCAGAATCTTAATGTACACAATGTATAAAAGTGAAATGTGTTGCAGTATCCCACGTATATTGACTTTGTGAGAAATACAGGGTGACATTTCTCCTCTTGTTGTGTACAGTAGCAGTGATTTAGCCCAGTGAGCCGTGGCACAGTGAGATTGCACGCCTGCTGCAGTAAAGAAAAGTTGACTTGAGGTCACACCGCCAGCAGTTGGCGCTTATAATTTAGCAGAGCAGCACACATGCGCATCATGTAGCCTGAGCTGTCATCGCAGGAGGACACGTGAGGTAACCACACATGTAAATGTGATTTAGGAGCACTAACACGGCAACCCCCCCACGGCTCACTTAATGTGGCCCCCATGTGTTGTCTCCACCGAGTATCCCCACTGTTAGTGAGTTAGCTGCAGTGAGCTAACTCATGCGTGTGTTTGATGCACCTCCACTCACAATAGTCTGCACCTTTAAGCCCTGTGTGAGTGCAGCGGGTTCATGTGTCCGTAAAGGCGCACGATATGAGCGAACTGCACGCGCAGGCTACAGCAGGACAGTGTACCTACAGTAACCTGGTGGGTCTCTCTCCACCTAAAAATGTCTGTGTCTTTAAAAAGAAGTCTTTACCGAGCGGTGCATGATGTCAGGCTGCTTACAGTCCGTATACTGTTCATGTGAGCGGCGTTCACTTCCTGCACAGGGACGGACAGAAGCGGGCAGAGAGAGAAGAGTGGGATAGAGAGAGTGAGAGAGAGAGATGGGGGACGAAGAAGAGTGATAGAGTAGAGAGTGTGAGCCAGCGGACGAGGGGAAACCGGGCCTGCTTCTTCTTCTTCTTTTCTTTTTTTGGTACACCCCGCAAACTTTAGGCTATAGGTTACCCGGGGAGAAAGCTTACCACATCTGCGCCAGCTGACAACCGCAGTTTATGGACCAGCGACATATCGGGTAAATACATTAAACCCTCCTTTTTGTTTCTGTCTTTTCTTCTTCTTCTTCGTTGTTTACAGTGGCTGATTTGTATGACGCATAGGTTTCACCATGCATTATTCTCTCCGCGCTACTCCTCCATTTACAATCCACAATAGGCAGCCGCAGTATGGCTTTGACAAACCAAAAATCAACTCTTCCTCTTGACAGCCGAGCTTTTAGATTGAATTGTCACAGCAGTTTTGACTGAGTGACACTCTTAAACTTTTATGAAGTGTGGTCACGAAATGTGGAGATTTCAAGCGGAGGATGGTGGGGAGGTGAATCCCGCTGCACGCCTCTCTAAAAAGAAATCAATCAGACTTGTAGTTTTTGACTTTTGGTAGGGTTTGAGTGCAATTTAACAGATCTTACACCAGATACTATTGTCATAAGCTTCTACTGTAGGTATGTAGAAATAATGTTAGTCTTGCTTCATGGTGAACTAAAAAAAATCTTCACCCATAATGCATCCATTGTGGGGTTATATATGGTGCAAGTGTGCTTTACAGATTATTTCACATAAATCTACTTGAGTTTGTAGTGTTTTCAGGGATTTTCTCGCTCAAAAATGTAAATAAATGTTCAGGAAAAGTACTTAACCTCAAGTAATATGTCTGCACAAGATTAAAAATGCACAGTACAAAGTAGAAAATGTCATGTCTGTGTAGATTAGTTGGTTGAAATAGTTTAAAACAAAGTTTCATTGACACACTTTCACTGTCAGTTTCAGTGGTGTCAGTTCTGTATAGGTTGTGGCTCTGTTTACCTCACCTGAACCCTGCAGGAGCCATCTGACTACCCCACCCCACCCCCCACCCCCCACCCAGCCCACCTCCTCCTCCCCCTCCTCCTCCTCCTCCTCCTCCTCCTCCTCCTCTGTGTGTACATGGTTGCAGTGTGTGGCTAGCCGGCATGTAGCTTGTGGCAATTTTCTTCATTTCCTGTCACTTTCCTTCCCTCTCACAAATGCTCTCACTCTTAGTCCACAGTCAAACGGTTTGTTTGTTTTTTTTCTCAAGATGACTACACCAGAAATTCCCCAACATTCGAAAGTTTGGAACAATTTATGTCAGGGCTAATGTGGAGCATCTGGGTCCCTGACAGGTGTCACGCAGGTGGGAGGTTGAATCGACAACTTAAAACTTGTCTTATATATCGCCACATGGATCATTTTAGTAGCTTAGTTTGAAGTCCGAAGCTTCCTTTCTTATTTTTCAACGTTAAATCCCACTTCTGAGTGCTCCGGGGCCCATATGTTTCTGCTCTCCTCATGCAAAAACATCATGGGGGATCACAAGATGTTCTGTACTTCCCTTTTGGAGACTTAAACCACTGTGAATCCATAGGTGTACCTGCCAGCCCTAAGGCAACACAAAGACGGCTTTTATTGAGTTAGTTTATGATATCCCCTCGCCCCCTCCTCTAGTACAGGGAAATCAGTTCCGGGTAGTGTGTGATTGCTCAGCCAAGTTTCTATCTTCGGAGTTTAACACTACATACATGGAAAATGTGGGACCTTTTTTTTCTCTTTCACTCTAAACCTTCCAACACCGCTCGTCTTTGACTTGGACGCCCGCCAAAGAGTTGTGATGGCTCTCAACAGCTGTATTTGTCTGTGTGTGTGTGTACGTGTGGGTTTGCGTGTGTCGGTGGGGGAGTGTGTGAGCATGTGTGTGTATGAGTGTTTGTGTGCTCTCGCTGTGTCCTGGGATGCCCTTCCTCCATAGGCCTCACACACTATACAGCATTCCACAAGGGGGCCCGGGGCTGAGAGCGAGTGGGGAGTGTCAAGGAGAGAGAATGACAACACCGTTTCATATATAACCCGGGCAGATACCGACAGAGGAGGGTGACAGGAGGAGAAATAGAGAGAGTGTGAGATTCTTTACTTGTTGAGGGTCTTTCCTTATCGCTTCATCGACCCATAAATGCTGAAAAGTAGATTTGGAGATGAAAGGGTGAGACTGCATTACACTGATTGTGATCTTCAATACCAAGACTTTCGGCCTCCATTGAGTTCCTATATGAAGTCAGTTATCTAAAACTCTAACTCTGGTTGCCATAAACTGTACTTAACTGTTTCATCTTCACTTTGACATATCCTGAACCAAACTTGATTCAAACAGTAGACTTCAGTCCCCATTTGCTGTGGAAACTAACCCTTTCTGTGGTATAAAAAAGCCCTCTTTTTTGATATAGCCTTTGGTTAAACCAACATTTGAAACTCAAAAGACTTCTGTTTACACTTTCTTGCCTCTACTAGAGTGTTTTCTGGATCAAACTCCATTCAAACCCAGGAGTTTTTTGTCCGTATTTACTGGGTAAACTGCAACCGAATGACACTGAAATCTTCTCTACCTTTTATTAGGACATGTATTGAACCAAAGTCCATTCAGAACTGGAAGACTTTATCTTGTCTGATTTGTTGCTCTCAATTGAAGCATTTTTTTTTTGCTAAAAGTTAAAGTCAAAACTTGTAAACTTCACCCTATAAACATCTTTTATGAAGACACACACTGAACCAAACTCCATTCAAAAGTTTCACATTTGTGTCTCTCTTTTGCTGTAACTGCACTGATTTTCAGATCCCCTTTTTCATCTCAACTTTTATCGCACAAGTCTACTTTCTTGTCTCTGATTTTAAATATTTTTCTTTGAAACTTATTGAACCTGAACATCACCTAAAACTCTGTTCAAAACTGAAAGACGTTTTCCCCTTTTCTTTCCGTTATTGAATTATTCTCTGAACCCAACCACTTTCGTCTGTCACTTTGATGATGAAATCGTCACCTTACTGATATAAAAGTTCCCCTTCTTTCTTTGACACTCATTGAACCGAACTCCATGTAAGGCTTGAAGGCTTAAGTCCCCATCTGCCCTCCTTTTGTTCAAGTATTTCCCAAACCATGCTTTAACATTTTTTTGGGAAACTATACATTAATGCTACAGAAACTCTTGTCCACATTAAACCAAGTCCACTGAAAATTTAAAGACTTTTGTCCCTATTTTCCCCGTCTGCATGCCCCCATGCTTAATGCCTGTGTTGCTTGTATACTCATGCAGGGAATGTGTTTATGTGTGTTTGATTTTCCTCTGCTGATACAGTAATGACTCACTGCTGATGGTATGTGATACAGTGCACCAGTCATATAGTCACATAAATTAGTCTTGTGTTTTCTGCATAGGGCAGAGTCTGTTGTAGTTAAACCCTGATGGATTAGAAAGAAAAAAAAACGTCTACTGCTTCTGCTGCAGTGGTTGGTGGTGTGTTCAGACTTGTTGATCTGCAGCTAATTGAGATGAAGTTTAGACTTCAAAGAAATATATTTCTGCTGATTTGAAGATAGTTTTATGTGGTGCAGATGTCCATCTTAACATTACATAATGCAGCAGCTGGAGGGAAAGACAATAATAGATTTTATTTGAAGGTAATTCTTATTCTGTCTACACTTTCAGCTTGTCTCCAGCATACAGCAGTTTCCGATTTAGTGTGTAGGTGTCAAGGCGATTTTCTCTTGAAGAGGTAACAATTAGAATCAGCTTGCAAATTAAAGCTCTCTATTTCAATTCCTGCGGTGAATTTCTTCTTTTGAAATATTTGTCTACACATGCTTTTTTTGTTTCATTTTTGTTAAACTTTTGCAACATTTAGAATATTTTATACAAGACTGAAGGACATCAAGATCGTGGTGCGCTCTTCAGTTTTGGTGATACATCTTGGATTACAAAACTAATTCCACATAAATGCCTGCTAAATCAGAAAATCTGAGATGTGTTTGATACTCAAAATCAAAAATTCTAAGTTGTCTCTCAACTCTTGACCTGCAGGTGAATAATTTGAGGCTTGGCTGACCCGACTTGTCCACATATTTTCTCAATCAAAGGTAAAATTAAGTTGTGAGTCACTTTAAATCAGATTGACTGCTAAACGGCTGAATTTGGCGGCACTACTGACAGATAAATTCTCACAGATAAACCAAATTATAGCTAAAGGTTCGACTGGTCTGATGTCTCAATAAAATAGACTTAACTACCTGACAAAATAGTGAACTTTCCCACCTCAATTAACAAATTTTAGACTAGAAAAAGGACAAGTCATGAAGTCCTATTTTCTGATGTACAATTGTCAGACCTCATTGACAGAGTTGCTACCAGGAGATTTGCATTTCTTTCTAGCATGGCACTATTAGTTTGCAACCAAACTGATTTGCATACCACATGTTTATGGCGTAAGAGCAATTGCCAAAGCTACAAAAGAGGATTTGGGCTTTTCCTCGAATACACGCTTAGTTTACTGGCAATGGGGTCGAAGTTTTCTTTCTTAACACGACCAGCTCTTGATTACACAGGAACATAACAGATAAAGGTGAAACATATAGGGATACATGTAGGATTTTTCCTGCTTATGTACGCATCCCTTTACATTAGTTTATTATTCTACTTCAGTTTTTGGTTCATGCAGAGACGGTGATTTTGCTGTAGATTGACACTGGTGGGTATATATATGATTATCTTATTGGTTCTTTTGTTTATTCACAGTGTCAAATGTCACAGGTATGGTCAGCGTATGGCGAGTAGAGGCTGGGAAACACAAGCTTGGAAAAAAGAGGGTTAATGAGAGAAAGAGAGGATCAGCGAAAGCTATTAGGAACCTTAAAATGTTACTGATTCGGGCTGTTTTGGCTTGCTACGAGCTTTTCAGGAAGCCTTCCAAGAATTTAGACAATGAACAGTAAACATGGCATGTTCCTCCGAACAATTCCACATTAGATCTCAAACATCACGTGTCTCTCTTGTTTTTTTTTTTTTTTCTACTTCTCAGAATCGACAGCCCCCACACCACAGTGCATTGCAGATAACTGTAGCAGCTACATTTCACTTTCCCTGCGTATGTACTGTACTTACACTTGACAAGGAGCTCTCACAAACTGGCAAATGTGCAGAATCTCTCTCTCTCCTGCTTTCTCTCTCTCTCTCTCTCTCTCCCTCACTCTCCCTCTCGTTCTGTCTCAGAGATTTCTGGTAAGTGACATGTTTGGCCGTTGGCATAATGCCTAGCAAGATCACATGGCATGAATGTCGTGCCTGTGTATGTGTGTCTTTTTGTGCGTGTGAGAGAGAATGTGTACGTCTGTGCATTTGTGCTCGGGTAGAAAAAAAAAAAAGAAAGAGAAAGAGAGGGGGCCTGTGCACATTTGATTGTTCCAAGTATTTTCAGCATGAAAAGGAGCACGTAGCCGTAGCAGGGAATTAAAGAGTGCCGAGAAGTATGACAAGGATGGGTTTCTGATATAGTCATAAGATCACTTTTTCTAAAGGGATGGAAAATTAGATCTTGCACCATTATACTTCATAGTGGGAGCAATTTTTGATGGTGTTGGTTGCATCGGCACATTAAACATTCATGAAGGTTATGTGGGCTTATAGAGAGCTTATTTCACAATGAGAAATCCTGCTCATACTTAGCATTTCAGAGTATTACCTGGTGCTTGATTTCCACTTCTGGGAACCTTTCTTAAACTCCCTTTGTGTGTTTAATTTACTGTAAGTCAGGGATCACAACCACAAGGTCACTTCAGTTAGCTTGAATAGAGAAAACGCGAAAGCTTAAATCAGCTTCCAGACTCCCCCCTTTTCTTTGCAGAGGCTTTAATGTAACTGAAGACCGAACAGGTTTTAAAACAATTTACTCGGTTCTTTAGAGTTTCAGTGAGGGGGACATTAGATTTACTGTGAAAGTCAAACCTATAATTCGGGGGGGATGACGCACGCAGACATGCACAAACACACACGCGTTCACATCACATAAATAAACTCCCCAGATCATGCAGCTACATACACACTCACTCAGAAAAAGACACAGAGAGAGGGCGAGTAGGCACTGTGGATGGCATTTATCCTCACAGCCCACCTCAATTTTCCGTGCTCTTTTGCTGTGTGCTGTACATAATTAAATCGCTGCTAACTTGAGGCCACTCTCAAGACTCCTGCCAGTAAACAAAAAGTGCTAATTAGTACATAAGGTAATAAGTGAGGACAGAAAATGAGATGACCCCCCTCCTCTGTGGCAGTGGCCTGGTCTGTATGTGCTCCTCATGTCTTAACAGCCTGGCAGACGCTGGTAGAGGCCAGTGGAAAAAGATAGGAATCCAAGGCGGCTAGTATTTACTACACCCCCTGCCCCACACCCAACCCTTTCCACGGCTAACATACGTAAGTAATTATAGCTAAATCACAGCACTACCTATCTGGTGATTTCATTACAATTGTGCACAGTGGGGAAAGCCACCTTGGACTTAATTTTTACAGACATTTATCAACTTCTTCATTTATTTTCAGTATGTAAAATGCAAAAAACTTAAATATTTCATTGTTTTGTTTTTTTTTAACTTGTCAACATTTCTGTTAAAGCTCCTATCAAGAACTTGATTTTTGAGCTCCTTATTGCTAAAGTGGGTCCTCTTATTCTTTTGCAGATTTTGTCTTAAAGGTGTATGAGTTGTTGTTTTTTTTTTTCAACCTAGAAAAAAATATCATTTTTCTTTCCTTTAACAATGAAAGAAACATATCACTCTTTGTGAATCTTCACATTGTCTGCAGCCTGCCCCCACAGGAACAGATTCAGACACTGAAAATTACAAGATAACCGACCTTTATACTGATAGTCCTGTTAGAGGCAACAGTGCTGACTTCAGTTTGCTTTAGTACCTGCTAGAAACTCCTCAAAAAGCAGCTTTGATAAATACCATATTTATGAGAGTGAACATCAAGGAAATGTGGCCACTTTTCATTAAGATTATTATGGGTATATCTTCCTTATACCTGTTCATCAAGTCACAGTTTCTGAGGCATCGTTTCGAAGATAATGTCAGTGTGGTGTCAACTGCACTTCTTCAACTGGCCACTAGAGGGTGGTTACATAAACAAATCCATCCCCACAGAGGCCGGTCTTAAAAGTTCCAACTCTTTCCTAGAAATTTCTGGTGGCACTGGTAAGCAGATTTCTCCCTGTTTTTAGAGATTACTTGGTTAGCTATTGTCATGCCAGCTAAGCTAACATCCTGATGGCTATAGCTTCGTTTATAATGCAGAGACTGCCGCTCAAACTGGCACAAAATTCGTGAGGTTAAGTATCAAGAAGTTCAAATGTAAGAAAGAAGGTATCTGCACAATCAGTATACTGGGCCCTGACTAAGTGTGTGGGTATCCTCATGCGATAATGGCTGTGTTTATGACACAAAAATTGACAGTGGTATTTAGATATACTCATTTATTTTATGAGACCAAAGAAGCCCTGAAGGATAGATTTTTTTTTTTTAAATTTTTTGGAAAGTAGGCTTTTTGTTTTCTGCTGTCATGCTAGGACAAGCTAACTTGCTGCAGGCGGTTGCTTTAAATACTCTATACAAGTATGGTAAGGGTCTGGCCTTTTGATTTAACTTAAAGAAAAAAAAAACAATCAAACATTTGTATGAGGATTTATTTTCAACACAGCTAGTTCCAAACTTAAGACTACAATGGCCGTCTTTGAGACCAAACAGTTCGGGGGCTTGCTCGAAGTGCAAAATGCGGAACTCTTGGGCATAAGAAGATGTGCTCACCACTAAATTTAACCACAAGAAAGTGGGAAATGAGGGGAGTAAGTTAGTCATAAAACTAATGGAGATTTAAGCTTGATAAATTTGCCATTGTGGTCCACTTGCAGTACCATCAGAACTCACTAGGAGGCCACAGCTCATACTTTTGGAGTCACTTCTTTATTATTGAAAGGTGCAGTGTGTAGAAAGGGGAATATGAAATAATACCTTGCAGTCAGATTGGTGACTTAAATTCTCCTTTACTCACTTCTTCCTTTGGTGAAACCACAGTGGACAAGATGTGAACCTCTATATGTCAAATTTTTACCTTGAAAACTTGAGTCAACACAAAATTAATACAGACTCTGGTATTCACAACTAATGTTAATATAAAAGGCTTGTTTAAAGTTAACAAAACACGTTTAACATTTAGGGAAGTATACAGTAATTTAAACAAACTTAAGATTGTTGTAATACTGAGCTTTCTGCTAAATGCTATGAATACTACACACTGTACCTTTAAAGTTGTGAAAAGCATGAAGACAGGTATGAGACCTAATGCCCCTTGTTCTCAGTTTATCAGCAGTATCAGTTAAAGTTTTTTTTTTTTTTTAATGTGATATCCTACTGAGAGTCAACAGGAACAATGATACCTTTGTACACAGTGATGTACAGCAACCACATGAAGTCAAATAAGGTTTCGCCTTGATCAGTTCTTGGAAACAGTATAGCAATCTTTGTCTAAAGGGCTCCAGTCTTACCTAACATGTGTTTTGATTGAATCCTGCTCAACCAGCCGACCCACATCTATATGTATGCAGTGTATATAATAGAAAAAATGCGTAGGATGTTTCTGCTCTGAGAGGGTGCGGCCTATTTCCATGTTGTTTACTCAATTCTTGCTCGAGACAGAGATAAACAGGCTCTGTTAGGAAAGGTCAGCTAGGGTCCCTTTCGGTGTTTTACTTGCGTGATGAGGTTAACCAAGGTGACATGTCATTTGAGCACACATATGCTAGCTTAGTCTGGTGCTGACTGGGAGATTCGTAGGTCACAGTAAAGTGCATGTGGGTGGGAGTCAGTTGAGGGGAGGGGAGTGTGCACTCAAAATAAATGTGTATGTAACACAGAACACTTGAACAAGCCGTCTTTTATAATGCATAAAAACACAAGACTACATTATGATTGTAATCATGGGAAATCTTTGCTGCATGTCATGAGACATTCTTTTGATTCACCTACTCTGATCATGATATCAAGCAGCATTCGTTCCCCTTCAGTTTTTTTCCCCCCTCCCATGCATGAGAATGATTTAAAGTGTTCTGTCTGCTCTAATTGAAAATGTACAGTCGATGTGGCCGCTGCTCTCTCTCTGTATGTCTTTGTGTGGGTGTGTGGGTGTGTGTTTGTGCATGCCTGTCTGTAGACAGTGGGGCAGTGATGCTGAAAGATGTGTCCTCATTTTTGCGTTGCACCGGGCTCCTCTGGCGGTCGTGTTGGGCTGCTCTCTCTCTCTGATGTCACGCATGTGTCACTGCAGAGCATTCAGCTCAGAAACGACGGCGCGCGGCGATCAAAATGGCATGTGTATTCTCTCCATATCTCCACCCTCTTGTCTTTTTCTGTGTCACCCTCTTCCTGTCACTCACTGTCGGTGATGAAACTCATACATTCGATCTGTCATTCTTGTTCTTCTTTTCTCATCACACCCCTCTTCCTAGGAAAATCCCAGTTAAAGCGAAAAACGTTTTTTGCTTTGGAGGAATTCAACAACAGCACTTGAACAATTACAGGTGCCATAATCCTGGCAGAGTACAGCCTCGTTTTATGTGCCTCTTTGAACATTCCTCTTACCTAGCATGACCCTGTTTGATTGACACCCTTGCAGCTGCTGTTATTCTATGAATTGTTCTTGGATGAATTGCTGCTCACATTGCGGGGACACGTGAATGCCTATAGAGCTTTTCATTATAACTGTGTCACAACATATCATGTGAAAAATCTATGAAGCCCGTTTTATGTAATGCGACACTGTTAAATGAAAGGAACTTGACCCATTTAGGCACTTTGATACAGGAATTCAGAAGTGGGGGATAAATTAGGGCTTTGACTGAAGATGCTGAAATGTTGGGTTAAGCCTAGTCATAAGTGTTTTCTCGGCATGAAGGGGAGCGTTTTTTTCGTGCGATTATTTCGGACGTCTATATATTTTTTTTCGTATCCTGTCAATACAAGCGTTCACACCAGCGACGTTTTCCCGTCCTGCGATATTGCGGCATTTATTTTTTTTCCATCACTGTTGATTTTTCTAAAGTTTCGCATACTGTGTGTCCACTTTTGACCAATCGGATTGCGAGTTGTTGCAACGTCAGATTCACCATGGCCGACCGGCTGATTATTTATGTGTTGGAGAACAGAGTGCTTTTTGATAAAAAAAACTTGTGGAGAGTCATAGTGTTGGATTTCTCACATGACGATGGTTTGTGTGCTTTAACAGTTTGCTAAACGTCTTTGTTTTAACTTTCATCTGTGCTAAGTAACTTTAGCGCATGAGCTAACCTGTTCACATACAACATACCGTATGTATTTTTCACTTAGGTCTCGGTTGTTACCTTACGTTTATGGATTATAGTTTAATGTGCTTATCTGGTACTGGCCCCGACTCAGTACATGCTATCATGACACACAGCCATCTCAACACTAATGTCTAATCAGAACTGACGGTCAGTCTGGTGTTGTGTCAGCCGGAAAGTCGCAAAATCGCACCGTACTTGATGTCTATAGTCAGGCGCGTCAAAATTTGCCTCTGAATATTTTGTAATTTCACGTCGTAAGGACCTTTTAATCAGAAAAAGCAGCTCTGAGGACGGGAATTTTGAACCAAGAAGCAAGTATTTCTTTAAAAAAAACACAATAACTTCCATGTTACAGTACATTTATGATGGCGCTATCTGCATCTTGCTGGAAGAAGCTGGTGCAACATGCAGGGCTGTTAGAACACTTCAACTTTAGCCCATTCTTTTTAAAGCACTGAACAAGACTTTGGTTATAGGTGATGAAAAGCTGCAACACTTGAGTTTGTTCCTGTCATAGGCCTGCAATTCCCCTCACCACAAATGCAGTAGGTTAAGTGTTAATAGCTCAGGAACTTCCCACTACTGTGAAAAACCAAAGTCTCTGCGTAAATGAGTCGAAAATACCAAATCCCACCGCCTTTGATGCTTAGATCGCATTTGACCCGGATGACTAAGAATTGCCTGTGACATAGATCTCATTACTGATATGAAAACCAACAATCCCAGCAACCAACTGCAGAAACACGAGACAGCTTACACTGAATGGTAAATGAGACGGGTAAGATTGTTGTGTATGATAAACATCTTTCTCTCTGCCCACATACATGCCAAGCAATAACTTGGTGTTGAAAGAGAAACCGATGTAGAAGTACAAAATACTGAGAGTGACCCTCTCCAGACTCATAGCCAAAGTCGCATTCTTACAGGAGTACCCAAAGGTCTGCCTCAGCAGGTTGATGAAAGTGTGGCTAAGTTGGCATTTCCAACGTGGTGACAGTTGTAGTTGGGCTTCAAAGCTGGCACCTACCCTCTGCCAGCAATTTTAGTTATCCAAAATGTCACCCTATTAAAATAATGGCCAAAGTCAATTTTTGACGAAAGTTAGTTTTTAGCCTAAATAATCTCAAAATCATGTCAAGAGATGATTCAGGCCAAAAAACTCATTTTCGTCAAAAAATGACTTTGGCCATTATTTTAATAGGGTGACGAAATGACAAAACAGCAGCAGCAAAGCTGTTTAACTTTATACTTGTGCTCTTGTTTGCTGTTGTAACATTAGCATTGGGCTCTGGAGTCTGTTTTTTTCTAGCTAAAACTCTTTACTGGAGCTTTAATTCATCCTGTTTCCTCCATGTTATGGCGGTCTAAGTATGTTCCATGAAAATCAGGCTCATACAGAGTGACATTCACCATTTATAAGCATGTGATACAATAAGACCCCCCAAGAAATCTAACCCAACTCTAGTCCTGGTGTGACCGCTAGTGATACTTATGAGGTCATGTAATGTCCCAGTTATCCCCACATAAGGGTCAAGTCTAGAGGGGGGAAGGTTTCAGGGCTCTTTTCTTTCTTTTTGGAACAAAATGCAGCCAACTGCACAAATCAAAGCATCTGATTTCTTCCTGTTGCCAGGAGCACTAGAAAAGCATTGACACACCTGTAATTGTACTTGTAAGAATAGATTATCAAGGCGCTCACAGAGCTACAGGCACTTAGCTCCTTCTTAAACCAGTACAGTCTTCACCATGGCACAATCACAGTTTGGAGGTGAAGAAGCACTTTTGAGCTGCTGCTGCAAAAGAAGACAAAAATAAGACGTGTAAACCAGTGTCATTGTTAAGTAGAGGTTCCAGATAGGGACTAAGCTCATTATACATTTTTTTGCCAAATAGGACTTCTCTCCTTGTCCGCGTATACATGCAGCTGAGAAAATAAAATTATTAACGTGAACGTGTCCTCCTCCCCAAAACTGGGGGGCGATATGGGTCTTTTCAGGAGGTCAACAGCAGGTCAGTGCCGGATGTCAGAAGTGGCTACAACTGCTGCTGGGCATTTACGGGGGCGTGGCGCATGCGCACATGCATTGTCCGATCATACTCCGACTACGCTGGTTACATGGTAGAGAAAATCGAATTCCAATCAGACTATCTAGAGTTTTTGACACTTAAAAAAAGCCAACTTTTAAGTCAGTAAAGCAAAAAAATGAGTCTACTTATCTGTCTCTGTAAAATATTGTCCTTTGAGCTCGTAGATGTGCAATTCAAGCTGCCAAACAAACTAAAATTGACACCTAGACCAGCTCTGAATTGACCACAGTTTGATCTTAATTCAGTCCTTGAAATCAGTAAACAGGCACTCGTGTGAAAATGTACCAAGCCCATCAAATGGTTACTTTCTTAACAGAAGATCAGTGCGCCCCGGCATGAAATCAAGGCCCTCGGGCTCATGGAAAATATACAGCTCTGTGTTATATTTTGGACACCCACCAGTCACATGGCAACTGCAAGCTGATGCCAACGTAGGGGATTTATTTGTAAGAAACTCTGCGGTGAAAAAGAGACATCACATGGCAGTCATGGTGCGGTATAATGTTTCCTTGAGAACACACACAGACACGCTGCAGCTTGACATACATAGACTCACTTCACTGTTGCCTCGGCTAATATTTCGTGTAATGGTGGACTCCTCCACCCTCCTCCTCCTCCTTTTTTTAAGCTGGAGGTTGAGGGAAATTTCAGTCTTGTGTCAGTGTATGTTCATAGTCTTGCGTGAGTACTTGTCCTGAGTTGCCGCTGTCACGTCACACTTATGTGTTGCCATAAACTGGAACGACCTGCAGGGCCCTGTGGTTCTGCAAATGGAGTCAGTATGACTTTAACTCCACTTTCTGTCTCCTTTTAAAAAATTTTCCTTGTGTTTACAGCGGCCCCTTTTCCCCTTTTTCTGTGTCATATATCAGGATTTTCTGGCTGTTTGGGAAGCCTCTCTAGTGGTGCTGACATTTTAGAGTCAGCATTGTGGAGGTGGAATCTCTTTTGATTAGAACAAAGTGTCAGATTGTTGTTATCACTTGGCTTCGTCTGTTACGACGCAGACTCCAAATGTAACTGTTTGAGTTAAAATGACTAAGAATACTCAATTATTCCCCTGTGTGATTGAGTTTGGGATGAGATTCATGCAGAAAATCATCTCTGTTTAACCTTCAAATGTTTGGATTTCATTTTTTCCTGCTTTTTTTTCGCCTCCCTTTTTTGCATATTTGTACTTTTGGCTCTTTCCTTTTTCCACATCAGGATCTCTTACTCAGCTTTACCTTTATCTATCACAGTGCTTAATTTTCCTATTCTCCTCTTGCTCTCTTCTCCACATGACTGCCTTTGTCAACTTCTCTCTTGTTCTTTTCTATTTGCATCTTTCACACACACTCCCTCTCTCTGTCCTCTCTCCTTTTGTTCGTCTATCTCCTCTCCTCCTCTCCTCCTTTTTCGCCTCTTGCCGTTTAATCTCCCCTCGTGTGCCTTTCAATTTGTCGCCCTGCTCTGTCTCTATCTCTTTAACTCTCAACTGTTTGCCCAAAAGTCATCATCTGTGCCTGAGGGTACGTGGGATAATATGTTTGCGTGTTTGCCGCCATCCCGATGTCCTAGTCACTGCAGTTTGGTGCGATGTAGTAGCCGCTGCTACTGTTTGTTTGTTTACCTCCCACAGCCACTTGGAGATCATTAGCGATGCCTTTGCCTGAGGAGGATCACACACACACACTCACACACACATGCTCTTCCTGCCTTTCCCACCACTGTCTGCTTTTCTCTCACGCACAACACCACAAAGACAAGCTTAGCTGACTGGTAGCCAACTCGTACAGGGGGTTTGCTGTCACAACTTTGTGTTTGATGAAGTCTGCAACCGCTGTGGAACTGCATGAGAGTTTTGTGCCCAATGAGAGGTGCTCGAATGACAAATGAGCCTTTTACTTGTACTTTTTTTAGGGGGGTAAAAAGAAGGTGACCATTACAGCAAAATAACAGCTGATCAGATCCTTGCCAATCTCAAACTCCAAGCTCCTGTCACTGTTGAAAAAATCAACCGAATTAGCAAGCCAACTGAAAAGTTTCTGACTCGCAGATGTTAAGTTCATTTGTAGTGAGCTCAAAGCCCTAATTTCAGCCACTCTGAGTTTCTTTTTGCCAAAGCAAAAGGGATTTGAATAAACAAACAGGAACTGTAAGCCATCTGTGAACACAACAGTGTCATAGCATTGCATTTACAGTTGGTAAGGATGGCCTGTCAGTGAGTCAGTGAGGCTGTTGCCTTTTTTGATCCTTTTTTTTTAAAGTTACAAAGAGCGCCGCAGGTAGGAAAAACTTTGAAGGTCAACACAACCAAAAGACGAATCTCAAGGCTACGAAATGAACGGCTGTAAAGGATCTACAACCGAACCCGTGACTCCAGTGTCAGCGCCGTTAAGCTTTCAACTCATTTGTGCTTCTCCTTTATCATTTAACTTTCGTGGTCTTAGTCAGCATCTCATTTGCATCCTTCTCTTTTTTTTTAAAGCCCTCACCATTTAAAATTCACAAGTGGGGTATTATTGACTGGCACTTTATGTCAGAGAGAAGAATTGCCACACCACAGACCTTATTTCAAGACACTAACCAAAAACCCATTAATAAAGAAAAGAAAGAAAGAAAGAAAGGCGCAGACAAGCAAAAGTTCGAACCCATTTCAAGGTTGGCACCGTAAGTGTTATCCCTCAAAATTTGTATTAATTCAGACTGTTAATACCTGAGGAATTGCAGTCAAATATTTCGCTCTTTTGTGAATCTGTTTTTATTCTGAGAAAAATATCTGGAAAAAGAAACAGAAGTCCAACAAACTGCACATAAAGCTTTTTGTAGGATTGAGAGAAACTTTTATTTTACGCATTATTTTTACCATTGCCTGTTGACACAGTGGTGTAGTTTCCATTGGTACTACAAATCGGTCTACATAGATTCAAAAACATTAGTTCACGTCTCAGGCTGGCCTTCAGAGTGTAAATATAAATATAGTTATCAGTGGCAGTTAGATGTGAGGGCAGCCTGAAGAGCCGCTGGACCCCAACCATATCTGATAGGAAGAAGGGGTAACGGCAGAAGAGCTGGTGAGTGCATCTTACTGTCAGTGAGTACTAATGTCAAAAGTTGAAAACTGAAAGTGAATGTGAAAAGTGAGTGTGAATACTCCCCAAGAAGTCTTGTTCACACTGTCTTACGTTTCCTTGAATAGAAACGCAGAGTTTGGTATAATTTTATAACATAACATAGAAAACAATACAATACAAGAACTTTATTTGTCTGGAGTCTCATGTCTCAAATATAGAAGAATTAAACAGTCTGATGACTGCGGGTACAAAAAACTCTGAACATATATGCAGGCTGATGGTTAAACATGACTGAGAACTGAAATATTCAACTGAATGTAAATTTGTCCCTCAAGGAAATCAATTAGAATCCATTACTATAGCAGCATATTACTGTAAATTGATAAATTCATCTTAAAATTAATATTTACTGTATTTTAGTGTCATGGTATGCTCATACTGTGACACTGAAATGTTCAACTTAATGCAAATTTGTCCCACAAGGAGACCAATCAGAATCAGTTGCTATGGCAGCATATTACTGTAAATTGATAAATTCATCTTTAAATTAATATTAACTGTATTTCAGTGTCATGGTATGCTCATACTGTCAGGACTCTTAACAGTCTTGATTAAGATGTTGATAAAAATAAAAAGAATGGTAATTTCCATAAGCCTGTAGGAGAGAGTGCCTGACAGAAGTGTTTCACATACATTTTTGGGTCACGAAGAAATCACAACCAAGTCACAAGATTCACCTCCTCCTGCTGTTGCCACAACTATTTGTTTTATCAAACGGAGAGATGCTTTCTGCGTTGAATGTCCTTTGATACATCGAGACAGTACTTGTCTTTGTTTGGCACATAGAGCAGCATGGACCCCCACCCTCCACCTCCCACATATACACCAACGCTTTACATTCAATCATGAGGTTGTCATACAGTGTCATGCTACACACACACACTCATGCACACAGAGGAAAAATAGTTTAGAAGTTATTAGTCATTGTTTTGCATTTGTCATTTTCCAATTAGATTATTTTGTTTTCGAAAATTTTGAATTCCTTGAAAGCTTATCCCGTCCAAAAGTCCAGAAATATTTAAATTCTAATGCTGTATTAACTAGGAAAAACCAAGACAAAGAAAGCCAGTATGAATTAAAAATCAATCTTTGTTAAGATTTTAAAGGAGAATATAAATCCGTCACTATGAGACGTTATCAAGATGCAGGTTTCAGGTTGCATGTCGTGCCCTAAATCCCCTCAAAAGCAATCTTAGTTTTGTAACACTGCAGACAGCATTGTGTGCCATAAATTCAATCTGAAATTCTACCTTTTTACCCCTGCAAGTCAGACCAAGAGTTACATTATTGTTGCATATTGAGTGAATACAAGTGGAAAGATACCAGACAATATTCAGCCCACAACAAATCATTTCATAGTTGTCTGTTTGTTACGTAACTGAGTGAATCATAGGAAGATTTAAAAAAAAAAAAAAAACGAAAAGAAAAGATGATTTTGATCCAGACAACTTCACCCAGCGGGGTCTATACACAGAGAATGATGTTGCATTATAAGCAATGATAAGCAGCCTCTCTCTCTCACTCTCTCTCCTGCTCCCTCTCTCGACATCCCATAATGATCCTCAGACAGACTCAGGCAGACACCCGCTCCGCTCGGTCCCGATTGGTAGAACTGTTGCCAGGGAGCGTTGCCGTCTCAACGTGGATAGAATCTGTTGTCTGGTACACTTTAGACATGAGAACAACTGCAGGATCTGAATATTTATAACGAGGCGACTGTTCATATTGAGATGGTATAGAGGGAACATAAGCAGGAGGGGAAGGAGCTGTTCTTTTTAGCTCTCTCTCAAATTTTCTCTTTAGTTTGCTTTTTCTTTGAATTTCTCCTCCCCAACTTCAGTCTAAATTTGTTTTACCTTTACTCATCTTCCTAATGTTAATACACCTTACATAAGTTTCCTGTTTTATTGTCTTCCTCTGTCTGCACTCTCGATAAAAGTTTCACCAACTTCACTTTCAGATTTGAACTTACTTGAACTGTTTTATAAACTACTAAAAGACAAACACATGAATCATAACTGTGTATGACTTGTGTGGTTTTATGTTTGAACGTTACCCCCCTATTGTCATCGACGAGGTAGCTACAGTATAACTAGTCATTAAATCTGTGTGTGTGTCTTTGAGCGTGCGTGTGTGTGTGTGTGTGCCATCTGGCGAAATCGTCTCATTTCTTCATATTATTCAAATATGCCTGGACCTGCTGCTACAGTTAATAACACTTGTGCGTAGGTATGAGTCCTTGATTAAAATGGATGTAACACACTCCCAACAAAGCAGACAACAATAAGAACAGCATTTGAATCTCGTATCTCGACACACACACTCTTGCAAACACACACCGCATGCCTGATATACAGTGCTAAAAGTCACGGCCTGGTATATAACAGCGATTATAAAAAAAACACGCCTTGGTATGCAGGAAACTTTGACATGGAATCGCAAACACACAGAGATAAAACGAGGACACAAGACAGGCGCACACACACATCACTCGTTAGGCAAACAAGTTGACTGAGTTCACGTCTTATATTCTTTTATCAGGGATGTGCAAAGTCTATATTTAATGCAGGCAGGAGGAGGCTGCAATTTTCCGTGCGAGGGTTTGCTTGCACACTTTTCGTATGCGTGTCAATGTGCGTGCGTTTAACCTCATAATGCACATGTATATTCGCCTCATGTTCATTCGTGCATACATATACATGACCATGCGGCTCTTCTTCTTCTTCTTCTTCTCCTCCTTATATGAGCAGAGTGGCACACCGCCGTCCTGTCTGCCTGACTCAACATATTCCCCCTTCACTCTCCTTTGCTCTTTCTCTCCCCTCCCTCTTCCTCCTCTTCTCTCCTCTCCTCCTCCTCCTCCTCCTCCTCCTCCTCCCCTCTCTGCTCTGCCCGGCTGGCACGTACATGCATGTCTGTAGACTCTGTACTGTGCTTGCTGCCGTGGCACGCGCCAACCTCACTGCAATGCAGCCCTGTGTGCATTAATTGGCAGAGAGACAGTGGGTATGTGGTATGCGGGGCGGGAAGGAGAGAGAAGGAAAAAAAAAAAAAGAAGAAGAGAGGAGGAGAGGAGCAGGAGGCGATGTGAGGACACAATAGTCACAATGACAGACACACACATGGACATGAGGACAGAGTGTTGGACAAGCGGTCTGTCCCGTTCACACACGGGCACAGACAGACAAACAAACAGAATGTGTATTGCTGAGTGTGCACAGCGAGATTACCTGCCAGGGGGGAGTGGGTTTATGTCTGTTTGCATTAGTGTGTGCGCAGGTTTTGTGTCTCCTGCGTCTCACTGTGCTTTTTTGTGTGTGCTCACTCATGTGTGCCTATATGTGCCGTGCAGATATCGCCCTGCCGGAGCAAAAAAGCTCTCTAAACCAGAGTCTGACTCACAGTATTCAGCGCTTTGTGATATCCTCCCTTTCATATTTCCGCTGTGACTGAAGAGTAAAAGTTTGCTCAGTTTAGCACAACTTTCTCCACTTGGGTATTTTTTTTTCATTTGGTGAAAAATGAAGCACATTGTGTCTGGATACTTTCTGGTGCAGAATAATCTGCACCAGCTTTTTTTCAACAGGCTGATTTTGAAATTTTTCACAGATTCTTTTGCTGTCAGAGGTCAGAGCTGTGTTTGTGAGTGTGTGTGTGTGTGTGTTCGCTCTGACACGCTAGAATAAAACACTTGCACACATACTGTACAAAAATGCACTTACTCATGTCACAACCATTCTGCATTCCCTCCCCTCCCACACACACATCTCTCTGGAAGTTATCCACTCTGTTAGCTGTTGTCTTTTATCTTCCTTCCCCTGTCGTATTTTGTGACATCTGCCTCCTGTCCTCTCTTATCCACATCAAGCTGCATTTAGGGAGGCCGTCCACGTGCCGCTCGGAAAAAAAGTAACACCATTTAAAACAAAAAAAAAAACAAAAAAACAGAAAATGTTTGAAATGTCACCTGAATAAGCTGCGCCACCACAGCGGAGGCGTAAATTAATCATTTTAATTTATCAATTCATGTAGAAATGCAACATAGTCTTTGCGTGAAGACAGAACTTCTCTCCGCTTGTGTGTGTGTAGGTGTTTGGCAGAGAGAGGTCCTCGCATGATTCAGAGAAAACACACAACACTTGCTTGAAAAGTAAAAAACCTCGTTATTCCTTTCTCAACTATTGTCTTCCACAGATTGGAATAAAATGAGAAATACCTTAAAAAAAATACACCTCTTCTTTTTTTCGAACTTTTTTATCTCCAATTTGAAGGATTAGAGGATTACTGCATGGTGTATTGTGCTTTGCAGAGACGTGACGCATTCTATCCAAACTTGCGTCAAACTGGGAATCCAGAAGTTTCACTATTCTATGTCTAATTAATTACCAGCGTCTGTAGCCTCTGTGTGAACGTTTGTGTTTTTTTTTCATTTCTCTTTTTGTCTTAGTCACTCCCCTACTCTCTCTATTGGACCATATAGGCATCTGTGTCCGGGGGCAAAGTGGCAGAAGTTGCTTCAACCTAATTGTCTTTCTCTTCTCGTACTGTCCTCAGATGACTTTCTCTCTGTCTCCCCTCCCTCCCTCTCTCTCCCTCCCTCCCTTCCTCCTCTACTCTCTCACTCTAGCTCTGCCCAGTCTCTGTCTCCGTCTGTAACTGTAGCCTGTGTTTTTCTCTCCCTCCCACTCCCTGCGACGTATAGATACTGCATTGATCAGACACACGCGCGCAGACACATGCACACGCCGAGCCTCCCACTCCTTTCATCATTGATTCGCTCTGCTCTGCTTTTCTTTCTTTCTCTCTCACCCCATTCTATCTCTCTCTCTCTCTCTCTTTCTCTCTTTCTTTCTTTCTCTCTGTCTCTCCCCCCACAGCGGCACTTGTTGAATTCAACCCTTGGAGAATAGCGAGAGAGAGAGAGAGAAGGGGGGAGAGAAACAGAGAGAGATAATGACAGGGAGGCAGAGCTAGAGCAGGCAGAGAGCTGAGAGAATGGGGCTTTGGAGGATTTAGAGATAGAGGAGAGAAGAAGAAGAAGGAGAAAAAGTCAGGCAGAAGGAGAAGAAGAAAAAAAGAAGAATCATCTTCGAGACACTTTAAGTGAAAGAGAGAGTCGCCCAGACGGAGTGTATCAGAGTCCTCTTCTTCCATCTCCTCTGTCCTGGTCCTGACTGCTGCTTCTGCTGCTGGTGTGTGTGTGTGTGCACAGACTCCATGGTGTGTTGTACCCAGAAGACTGGCTCACACAGGTCAGAACTGTCTGGGCTAACAGCTTTTATTTATTTTTTATTTTTTCTGCATGTGCGTGCCTGAGTAAGGTAAAGAAAGTGCTGGTTTCTCCAGGTGAGAGTACACAGTGAATTCCCCGCGCAGCAGTGTATAAGAGTGTGTGTGTGTGTGTGTGTACTTTTATGTAAGTAACCCAGAGTGCATGTTAGTCTGTATGAGGTGGGAGAGAGAAAGAGCGTGTATGTGTGTAAGAGAGGCGGTGACATTTTTTTTCAGTTTGTATTCCTGGAAACTGTTCTGCAGCATTGCTTAATAATGAAACTAGTGCGTATACATGTGTGTGTGTGAGTGTGTGTGTGTGTGTGTGCAGGGGGTGGGCAATGATACGAGGTTCAGGGAAAAGAAAGAAGGTGCAAACATGTCTGGGGAATGTTAACTTGAGGAAAGAAAATTGTGTGTTTTGACATGAGTTGTTTAGTTTCCTGTCAGAGTTATAAAAAGGACCCGAACGCAGACCGAAAAAAGCTGCAGAGTCAGCGACATTTAAGGGGTACCTCTAAACTCTGACATATGAGAAAGTGGTTACATTTCCACGCTTCGGAAAAGTTGTTGCCAAGGCTGACTTTCAGGTCATGCAGCAGAATAGTTGTTGATGCGTTTAAGCGTGATGCTTGGATTGAGCCGGCGCTGTTAGGATTGACGAGGTTTTAAAACAACATAGCCTGAAGGTATTTCACAATATTCACATGTACAGTAGGAACGCCATTGTGTTCTTGTTTTTTGTGGACTGACTTGACTCCTCCTTTCTCTCTCCTGACTCTCCTCTCCTCTCCTCTCCTCTCCTCTCTCACCCACTATCTCCGCAAATCCATCTCTCTCTTTCACACACCTCTCACTTCTCCCTCAACTGCAATTCATTTTCTCACTTCATCTCAACTCTATTTTCCCAATCCGCTTCGCGTTTCTTTCAAGATCCTCTCAATTTTTACCTTCTCACCTCTCTACCTCCCTGTGGCATGTCTTCTCATCTTTCTCGGCTTTGTCGCCGCATTTCTCGTTTCTCAAACACGTTCTCTATACCTTCTTTTTTTTTTTTTTTTTAAACAGATGCCTCTCACAGCGGCGGAGTCTGCAGTAAATATCTGAAACCACATCTTCAGCTTCCTCTGCAGCCAACATGTCCCAGCTGCTCCATGTGGAGATCCCAAACTTTGGAGCCACAGTCCTGGGCTCCCTTAATGAGCAGCGTCTGCTGGGACACTACTGCGATGTATCTATCCTTGTTAAAGGTTGGTTACTCAGTCATATGGATGTGTTGTTTTAGCAACAGCAGAGTTTTTAAGACAAATCTCAACATTTTATCTCTCCTCTGTTTTTTTTTTTTCTACTACTAACCAGGCCAGGCGTTCAAAGCCCACCGGGCCGTTTTGGCTGCCAGCAGCCTCTACTTCCGCGACCTCTTCAGCAGCTCCACCAAATCTGAGTTTGAGCTGCCTTCCTCCGTCACACCTGCTTGCTTTGAGCAGATCCTCTCTTTCTGCTACACAGGGAAGCTAACAATGGCAGCTAGTGAACAGCTGGTGGTGATGTACACAGCTGGCTACCTCCAGATTCAGCATATAGTTGAAAGAGGCATGGACCTAATGTTCAAGGCAAACTCCCCTCACTGTGACTCGCAGACAGCAGGGTCCTTGGAGGAAACAGGATCCGAGCCACAGAGTCCCTGTAATAACGGGAACGGACTAGCAGTGGCGGCCCTTTTGGGGACCCCGGGGTGGTCCCCGTCCTTGCTTATGCCACAGCGTAAGATCAAATTAGAAGGCGGCGACCCCACGCCTCTGACGGTGCCCTCGACACTAAGCAAGATTTCATCTTCTGAGTTGGGGAGCCGCTTGAGGGCGAGTTCGCTCTTCTACACGACTGCAGGTGGGACCCCAATCGCAGGTGTTCCTCCTTACCCCATTCAGGGGGCTGGCGGTATTGGAGCAGGAGGTGGTGGAGGAGGAGGGGGTGGAGTAGAGAGGTCCAGTCCTGGAGCATCCAGCCTGCCAACCACTGACAGTCCAACTTCCTACCAGAATGAGGATGAGGAGTTTGAAGAAGAGCCCTACGATGGCATGACAGAGGACGCCTACAGTCATATCTACGGACGTTCAGCCAACCCCTACGGCAGTGAGTTTCACATTTTATTAAAGCTTTTATTCAATCCGTGTGAAGTGTTACACTAGTGAGGTGGAGTTCAAACACCATCAGCAAATTTATGGAGAGCTCTCATCAGAATCTTTTCTCTGGAGTATCTTTCATCCTAAAAAAACGACTAAAAATACACCGTTCCCTCCACTATAGACAGTTTTACTTCGCCATTACATAAATAAATCCTAAGTTCAGAGGAAAAAACTGATCAAATAAGCAAGTGCTCAATGTCAACGGCAGCACAGCACTAGTTTTATCTTTGTAGTCATGGAAGAACTTGACTAAGTGAATTACTTTCCCAAATGCCCTTGGCGCAAAGGGAGGAAATTCATTTGATACCAGGCCGATCTAAAAGTAAAACTCTGCATGACTTGCAGAAACCATAAATGCAGAGTTTTTTCGGGTGAACATAGCTGCTCCTTGTCTGGATGTGTTATGTAGTGTACAAAAGGAAAAACAGATGCACATTGGTTTCATCCGAGTTACATTATTTAATCTTTCATAAATCATGTATCCTGCACATTTAAAAAAAGCAAGTTGCTTTCCCTCCAGTGTGTGTGCTTGTGTGTGCATGTGTGTGTGTGTGCGTGTGTGTTCTCTCTCAGCATAAAGATAGCTTTATGGAGTTATGATTGGAGTGCATTCTGACCAACAACTCTTTCCTTATCACTGATGCAGCAGCTGGCCTGTACTGCTTTTGTCAGTGTTTGTAGAGCATTTTCCACACTGGTGCAGAGTTTCCCTACACAAAAAAGACACTTCAGTATATTTACCATAACCACACAAACGCACACACACACACACACTTCCATCTTTTATAGCATCCTGCAGCTGAAAGGGCCCTCCAACAGGTTTGTCAAATTCTCGAGTTTCAGATATTTATGAAATCCACTCTATCTCCAATCAGTCAGAGCACCTCAGGGTGACATTGTGGGATATTTGAGACCCCTGCATGACTTTCCTGTGTGTGTGTTTGTGTGTGGATTTAAATGTGAGTGCACAATACAAAAAAAACACCTTTCTCTATAGGCTGTGTGCATGCATGTGGTAATTAATGGATTAATTTCCCTGCCGTGTTTGTATCCCTGCATGTGAACATTAACGCGTGTGTAGGAGTTGTATGCATATGTATCACAACTCATCTCAGAGGTTAAGGGGAAAGAGTTCGGAGAGTGGGAACCTTACACCCACCCGGCTTTAGATCCGTCCCCCTCCAAAACTCAAGTTGCTGATGCAGCATCGTGACTTATCTGGGATACATCTGCAAAGCTCTGAAACATTTATGAAACACAACAAACTTGGTGCTACATAAACCTGACTTACTAATTACTTTAGTATATATGTATGAGAGGGCACCGAGGGTAGGGATAACAGCGAACTGTTCTTTGTAGTTTTGACTTTTATTGACTTGTGGGTGCATCCTAAATTTCCAGTTTCTGTTTTTTTATTTTTTTGCTGCGTAACACGAAACCCTCTCCCTAAACCCATTTTGTTCTCTCTGCTTTCATCAGTTCAGGACAAGCCCGACATAACAGCGGTGCCCTTGGCCTTGGAGAACCGCAACTGTGTGCTGATCCGCAGGGACCTGGTGGCTCTGCCTGCAAGCCTCATCAGCCAGATCGGCTACCGCTGCCACCCTAAGCTCTACACTGAGGGAGACCCCGGGGAGAAGCTGGAGCTGGTAGCTGGTAGGCACGCACAGAGTTACACATGCATCCACTTGCGCACATTTACTCTCTCACATGCAGAGAGGAACGTTCTCTGCAGTGAGCTTGGAAAGTATTCATGCACCCACCCTATTGTATGATTTCCAGCATTTAAAATGTGCAAGTGGGCAAAATTGAATTTAAATCGCTGAATTATCTCGAGCTCAGGGATCCCAAAAATGCAAAATGGAAAAACTTTAGAGTACAAACTTGTGCCACAGATTCAAAATGAGAAACTCTGCAAAGATGCATTGATTACCCACAGCCCAATGGCACTCAATGCTTTTTATGCATACTTATGTATTTTACTTTTCCTCAACCAGTGGAGGTTTATCTAGTCAATAATAACTAATTCAAGAGCTGTAGTTCAGATCCAGGATCAGACATGTTTTGTGAATTCCAAAGGGAAATTATGCCTTCAAGATGTTTACTGTAAAAAAGACAAAGAATAGAAGAGAAAACGATCAAAATATAACGCCGCTAACTATGCAACAAAATGCACTGAGCCCAGGTAGATAAACACAGTTTTTTAAACGTGAATAAAACATCACAAAGCGGTGTTTAATCATCACATGGACATTTGTGAAAGAGAAGCAGCTCTGATAATCATCACCCCTAAACCTGTGTAGGAGCCCATCAGCTGTGATTATCTAATTCCTCGAGGGAATACGGCCTAATTAATATGCATTCTTGTAGCCAGCACTTACAATTTACGGTTTTCAGCCAAGTTTACAGTGTAAACAGCGCAATTAGCAACTGAAGGGACAACTTTGTGTCTGCAAAAATGCACAGTTTAATTTCTTAGCTCGATAAACCTGCAGAACAGCCCCTGTTCATCTGTTTCTGATGAGTCTCAGTTTCACTGTAAATGAAAGGTTACACAGAGGCTTCACTCTTAGCTGAAATAAAATCTGAAAATGATTTTCTTTATCAGTCATTAGTTTGCTGTTTGACAACATTACAATGTAGATGTGTGAATGTAAACACAGGCCTTGTCAAGTGTGAGTTTCATTGTAAAAAGAAAGAGTTACACAGAGGCCTAACGCCGGCTTACTACAGCCGTTTGAGGAGGCCAATAGCTTTGTGGGTGATTTACTGCTTTTTAAAAGATCTTGAGCTTGCCAAACCCAATAATGCAGACTTAAAGAAATTTAAAGGTCAGGCTTTGTCAAGTCCTTCCTCATTAGGGGAAGAAAACAACATTTAAAATGCTTGCTGAGGGGCACCAGTTGACCCGGCAGTTTAAAGCACGCGTCCCCTGTACAGAGGCTATAGCGCTTACTGTAACGGCCGCTAGTTTGACTCCTGGCTATAAGCCTGTGCAGCATGTTGCTCCCCACTCTTAATCCCTACATTTGCTGTCTCTCTTAAACTGTCTTTTTGAATGAGTTGACCAAAAGTTTAAAAAAAATAGAAACTAAAATGCTTTTCCTACCAAAGTCTGGTACCACACGCAGATCCCAGATTCTGTGAGAAGCGATTGTCATCTGTAAAGACGTCAGCGACATTAAGTTCTTTACCCTAATGAAACACCATTATGCCGCTTAAGACCCACATTAAACCAGACTCTGATTGGCTAATAGGGATTGCTCCTCCTGACCCACGTCACTGTGTCGATCTGTGAGGGACAGTACAAAGCTGCAGAGTCTCTCTGCAGAGATTGAAGACCCTGACAGAAGGACAACCATCTCTGCAGTGATCATCAATCAGGCCTTTATGGTGGAGCAACCAGACAGAAGTCACTCTGAAGTTAAAAGCATATGACAGCCTACCGGGAGTTTGCCAAATGGCTCTTACAGGCTTCTGAGAGCATGAGGAAAAGGGTTTTTTTTGGTATGACGAGACAAAAAAATGTATCTCTTCTGTGTGACTGCCAGATATTGCCCTTGGCAGTTGGACCAGAGGCTCACAAAGAGATCTGGTGAGGCTTGACATGTACCCGTTTTAATTCCTCCGGAGCATGGCAGAGGGTTTAATCAATTTAGTATTGGATCTTTTCAAATAAAAAGAATGCGGTCTGAATATTTACAGTGAAACTATATGGAGGCAGTCAGAAATCAATCTAAAAATCCTGGAAATTAAATCTGATTATTGTGTGATTGAATTATGAAGAAAATGGAACATAGTGGAATACAAAACATGGAGGTCAAAGAGACGCTTTTAAAGGAATTAAAACAACGTAATTCAATTGTTTAGTGTTTTTACTGCCTTCAACCTTAATTCCTGTTCAGATTTCCAGTTCTACTTATGACAGCTGACTCTTTCCTTCGCCCTAGAAAATAACTAATCCATTACAAGTACAGCAAAGCAAAAAGTGAGAACTAAAAATGAATGGGTGAATTCTAGGTTTCTTAAGAGATGAGGAAATAAATTGTAACATGGGCTTTTTTTATTTCCAGGAACACAAGTGTTCATGACTCGAGGACAGCTGATGAATTGTCATCTGTGTGCTGGAATCAAACACAAAGTCTTGCTCCGCCGCCTGTTAGCCACGTTCTTTGATAGGTGAGTACAAAAACATGCACAAAGAAGCAGAACAGTTTGTATTTAAAGGCCTACTGTAGGATTTGTGTTCTGTGTGTGACTCCAACACTACCGCTGTTGTCACAAACCAACTTTCACACTCCATCTGTGGCCATGTTGTGCAATGCGGTTACTCGTGTGTGTGCTGTGTGTATCTGTGTGTGTGTGTGTGTTCTAATGTTTATCCACTGTTATGTGCCTGCTGCTGACTGCACCCCCTGGTGTCCACTCTGTGTCCCTGCAGAAACACTTTAGCCAATAGCTGTGGGACAGGAATCCGTTCTTCTACCAGTGACCCCAGCAGGAAACCCCTGGACAGCAGGGTCCTCAACGCTGTCAAACGTAGGTCCAGTATCCAGATATTCTCATAATTGTGATTAAATTTGAAAACATTTGGTCTACATGGAGTTCTTGTCTTTTTTTTTGTTGCAGTCTACTGTCAAAATTTTAACCCTAACTTCAAGGAGAGTGAAATGAATGTGATCGCGGCTGATATGTGCACAAACGCGAGGCGTGTTCGCAAGCGATGGCTGCCCAAGATCAAGTCCATGCTGCCCGATGGCATGGAGGTGTACCGTGCAGGGATGGGCATGGGTGCTGCTGCGGCCGTGGGTCTCGGCCTGGCTCTCGGGGCCCCTCAACCAGGGCTACCTCTTCCCTTTGAGCACGATTTCAAGTCCTTAGAGCAGAGGTTGTATCCAGATCGCAAGGACCCCCTCAGGACTCATCAAGCACTGACAGGGGGCAGCCCCGGGTCTGGAGGTGCTGGAGCAGAAGCTGAAGGTGAAGCTGAAGGAGTAATCCATGAGGAGCAGGAGGAAGAAGAAGATGAAGCCGGGTTAGAGGGGGTAGACGGGTCGCTGGGGGCGCCAACTTTGATTCCGGGAGCGGAGGCGGGCAGTTGCGGCGACACGCCGTCTGAGCAGGAAGTAGAAAGTTTTGGACAAGGAATGAGAGTGAACGGACAGTGAATGCCTCTCACTTTGTGAAATCTGTTTAACACCGCTTTTCTTTTTGCTTGCTCTCTTACTCTTAACATCTCGCCCACCACTCTTTCTTCTCCTCTGTGCTTCCTCAACAGCACAAAAAAATCTGCGCTCTTAGGTCTTACTATACAGGAATTTTTGTCACACGTGCATGCGGACACGTGTGCTTGTGTACACGCATTCAAAAAAAGAAAGTACAACACTGGCAGTATTAGCAGACACAGGCATTGCATCCACACTTAACACAAAAACAACCACCTCTGCTCCACCCTTTTTTCCATATATTCTGTGTTTACTCAGTGCTTCTGCACCCGCAGCCATATCACAAAGGCCTGATAGTTGAACAAATGGCTGAATGATTCATCACTTCAGTGTAATACAAAAGCAGCAGCTGCTTCACTGGCAGTCTATGGTGTGTGGTGTTATGGTTTGTAAAGTGATTCCTTTGTCTTAAAAAGCTGCGTCTGAAAGTAACCGAGAAAATGTTCAGAAAAGCAGATCAGAGAGAAACACTCGCAAGGAAGCTGATTTGGCAGTTTTCCACCTCTTTTTATTTAAGCGTATGGTAAATATGTAGGAGTGTCCCTACAAAGATTGTATTGTTGTTGTTTGAGGTCGAGTCCTCAGTTAACACCCTTAAAGAGAACAAGTTTCTTTCCGTTAAAACTACATATTTGTGGTAAAGATTAGGGAAGTTTTTTCCCCGAATCCTAAATAACTCTCCACAATCTGACAAATTATCTATCACATGGAGTCGTTTTGTCATGCAGTTCATACTCGTGACAAATGGGAGTAAATCGTCAATGTGATGCCTGTGTCTGCTTCAGACTGCTTCTTTTTAACTACCCATACACGGACATACACACAAAGTGCGTACAACTCTCACCTTAGGAAACAAGCCTTCGATACCTGCACACATGCATTGAACAAACACTTTCCAAAAGTTTGAGAAAAGCTGTCTTACTTTTACAGAAAAAAAAAAAACTCTTTTACAGTCACTCATCACCATGACTTGGAAACACAGAGAAAGACATGAACAGCAACATGCATTAAATCCAAGCTTGTATGCATGACTACAAACAGAGAATTAAAGAAAACAAACAGCAAAGCCACAAACATGCATCCAGATAAGAAAACAGCTACTATTGCCTCAAGTTACGCCATTAATACGCAAAAAAAAAGAGACTTTTTCTGCCATTTCTCACTGGGATGTGACGTCAGAAGTGACCCGGGTGTGACCCAGGATTAACTGTTTTTTACACTGGAATTTTTCTTTATTTTTATCTTTTAATAAAGCTACCAAGTCACCACAATTATAGGAGGCTGGATATGTATGAAGCTGTGGGAAAGGGAAAGAGAGAGGCACTGTTTGTGCTGAATAGTTGTGAGGTTTTGCCCCCATTCTGTTTTAATTTTCTTTTTATCCCCTGTTGTTAGGGGGGTTGGGGGGTAAATTATTGACATATAAGAGCGATTTCTGCTAGCTTGTTGCATTTGCACTTAAAAAAATGCTCAAAAGTGTGAAACCAAGGCAAAATGGAACTATACGCGAGACTGAAAGATGTCCTCCACGTCACTGATTATTTATTTGATACAAAGATTGTGGGTCTGGAAAGAAGAAAAATGGTCTTTCGGACGCTAAATGTTCTCATAAGGGGGAAGGGAAGGGGCTGAATGAGTCTAACAGAGACATAAAACCTGTATTTTCTTTTTTGATATCCGTTTTCATGCTTTCTGCCCTTTGCATTGATTTTAGGAGATACACTATTGTATGTTTTTTCATTGTTTCTCTTTAAATTCTGATCAGTGTCAAAACACATTAAATCAGAATAGACCCTCCAAGCACTTAGTGTTTGAAAAAAATCAAGTGAATCAATTTGAAGCATAGGCAGACGACAGAGCTTAGAAAAAAAAGAGACTAAATATGCCCATCTAAATTTGATCTTTGCTTATGCTTCAGAGCTGTGCAACCTGAAAGTTCATTTTTTCTCTATTGGAGAAGCTCGAGGATGTCCCTGCACAAGAAACACAGGGTTAAAATTTGCACTGTGTGAGGTAAAACATTGACAGTATATTTTTCTTTCTTTGAAAAGACATGAAGAAGGAAACTGGGCTGTTAAGAATGGCTGAAGTGATGAATGAATGTAAACTGTAGCACTGTGTCGAATAGGGATCCAAGTCATGATCAAATATGGTCAAAAAACTTTTTATACAACCCGTTTTGTCCCTGAATTGTATATCCTAAAAAGATAGGCCATATATCTTAAATTGACTGTGACTTTTTCTTTCTTTCTTTTTTTACTTTGGGTGAACAAGTCTTCCAATGTGGAAAACAACAGGGAGCCTTTCCCTCATATACAGAAAACTGAGCGTTAGCTTGTATATATGTTTGTATATATATATACTTAAAAAAATCTGGGAAATAATTTCTTTATCTCATTAATTTATTTTGCTTGGATTCCTAAAGTTGTTGATTTTTTTTTTTAAACACAATAAGTGTTTAGACATGTTTATTGTTTTTGGTGACTTCGGTAACGGTCTTCCCTAAATGTATACGTGAGTAATTTTGGAATGTAATGATGACTAAAACGAGCCACTTAACCAGCCTTTCGCCCCCTCAGTCTAAACCTGTGAAGTCTGCTATTCAGCCGTGCAGAAAGCGTGACATTTATAGTCTTTCTTGCTTCTTATTTTAATACACTTAATCGTTGCTTTGGGTGAGTTTAAGATCAATGTTCAAACAGGAAAAGTGCTACACAGCCATCATTTTTAGTCAGCTAAATAGGATGAAAAAATAAATCAAAGCTGTTAGTAACCCAAGGTTGGAAACATTGAAATACTCCACTATGGTGATAAAGGGGTGTGGAGCAGTGCCTTAGACTGTGACTGTGTGGGTGTAGGACACAGGCATGACTGGTTTTTGAAGCCTTTACTTTTAAGTTCAAAATCAACAGCCTCTTAAAACATTTGCCCATTTTTTTCATAGTTCTTTCGAGGAAAAAAACCAAACCTGTTTACTTTAAAGCTTCTGTAAGAAACTTCCCTTTTTGTTTTGAATATATCACCTCTGACATCTTTTCTGATTCTGTCTTACACTTACTTTTGCAGTTACCCCCCTTTACACAAATACTAGCTTTAGAAAAAGTTGTTAATACCAGTGGTTCTGGGTGTTGAAAATCCAAATATCGACAAAGTCAAAGTTACCGTCAATGATCTTGTTTGCTTTTGTAGGTCATAAAAAGCCAACACATTCAATTTGAAACTGTTTCATAGCTAGAGGAATAATTCCTCATTGGGGCTTGAATAAAGTACATCAAAACATTGATAGCAATCAATAGTCAATGAGAAAAAAAAACACGCAAAAAAAGTTATTTTCAAAGGTTGAACTTGTTCACTCCCATTTTAAAATCAGAGATGGCGCTTTAAGGACAGTTTTTTATTGACCTTAAAAATTGTTCATCCTATTCATAGTTTTTAGTACAGAATGTACATTGTTTGTCTGCCCAACTCCTTAAAAATGCCAACAAAAAATGTCTGTACTTTGAGGAAAAACTGTCCCTTCTTTTGTGCTTAGGATCTTTTTTCTTGTGCAGGGTGAATTTGAACGTAAACGATGTTGCACTATAAACTGAGAAATTCTCGGAGAATGTCACAGCTAACCCTTTGGAACAACGAGCTCTATTTTGGGTGGTAAGAAGAAAAATAATGTATGACATTAAATGTATTTTTTCCTGTAACTTGGATCAAAACCAGTGTCTCCTTCACAGCAAATCATTATTTTCTTATTGACAGTCACCTGAATGATCATGGAGAGTGACAAAACTAGAGATAGAGTGGGACTGATAGTCAAGAAGAAACTATTTTCACCAACATTTCTTTGCAAATAAATTGTAACTCACTTTGTAAAAAATGTTCACTTCATCCCCCATTACTGTCAAACTGATGGGCACAGTGGTGTTTGGTAGGTTGAGAGGTTTATCTGAAAAACAACACATCTATATGCAAAGAGACACTTGTATCATAAACTGCATGCCACTCAGACACTCACTGGAACCCGATGAAACCTCTGATCTTTATGCACCATGTATTTTATGCTGAATAACTGTTGTCACTGTTAGCAAACAAAGACAAAGGAGTCTTGCAATGAATGGGGCTGTGTTTTTTTATCGCACACCCCAGCCTTTTTTTTCTGAATGTTTGATAAAGTAGTGATAAAGAGTGGAATTACATTGACTAACTACCCGGTTGAGTGTGCAGATAAGTCTGCAGCAGACTCAGAGAAAAATGCACTAAAAGTTTGTATGTGTATGTGTGTGTCTTTGAAAAATAACGCCAGCACTTTAGAACTACTTAGAAAAAATGAATCAAGAGTGGACAAAAGGTTGGGAGGAGGAAACTTTTAAAGCCATGTGTTCAGAGCGCTGACAATCAGAATAGGAATGAGACCCAAAGTGCATTATGGGAGATCTGACATGACTTGCTGTGCTCTTTGCTGTTCGCTTCGTCTTTCTCCGGCTTGCTTTGGTCTGTGCTAGCTTACTTTCCAGAGTGAAGGGGATGTGGTGTTGCTAACTCCAGCCTCCTTGGTTATAAGTGTGTCTCTGCAACAAGGACTGACGGACATGTTTGACACCTTGGTGCTTCGTGAACAGAGCTGTCCCGTTTGGACATGGACTATATATCTGTCATGCTCTGGTTGGCATGTGCTGAACCAGAGAGTCTGGGACGGGACTATTTCAGTGTTGATACTGCTCTATGTTTCAAAATGTTAAAATGTTTATGCGCCTTCTGACTCAAGCATCAATAATATATTCAACGGAAATGCAAGTTGCCACTTTTGATGTTGCATAAGAATCTACCTTTCATTCCCATCATGGTATCTTCCATCACAAGTTTCAGTTGTGTAGTCTGAGAGTATCTGATTTCTTTAAATGCAATACAGAAAAATCTGCTTTCTAATAAAAATCCTGACTTCACCAAACACTTCTCTTTTTCTTTGCAATCGATTCATTTTTCAGACTTATTTGTGTCTCTAAAGAAACATGCATAACTTAAGCTGTTTGTCCCAAAATACCTTGTATCAATCGATCAATCAATCAAACTTTATTTTTAAAGCACTTTTCATACATGGAATGTAACACAAAATGCTGATATTAAAAAAACAATGAAATAAAATAAATACAAATACAAATTCCAAACCCCACCCATCCTCCCAACCCCCATTCAAAAAATGGGGGTTAAAAGTACCAGAGATGCCAATGAGGCTATGGAGTCTGAAAAAATCACAGAACAGAGACAGCACTGGTCAAAATTGTAGGTGACCTTAGGTCCAACATGGATAAGAAACTAATCTCTGTTTTAGTTCTGTTGGACCTGAGTGCAGCCTTCGACATGGTGGATCACTAAAACCAGATTGAAATTTTTCATGGATATTTTTAAAAGTCATAAAATCATTTAACTGGTTAAAAACAATCTTTTCTAAAATGTTGCTTAAAAATGGCAGGTTGGAAACTGGTCTGTAATTATCAGGTATTGTATCCAAGTTGTTTCCTTTGTGAAAATATTTTTGAAAAGTTTTGGCTATTTTGAATTCACAGCTGTTTTAAAATCTGTCAGGAGGAAAAGTCAAATAAAGGTTCTAATTGCTTGTGCAATACTTCAGCAAAATACCTAAATCAAGTTTTTATTGCATTTACCTTCAAGTTTCACATAGATTGCCTTAAAGACAAAGGAAGCGGTAAGTGAACAGACTTTGGGACTTCTGGGCTGCCTGACACAGACTCTTTGGAAAAGTTTTACTTTGCCAAAGAAGCCTTAGACTGCATAGGCCTCAAATCTGTAAGCCTATAATACAAAACAATAACCTTTGGTAATGGACTGAGTAGAGTTTTTTATTTTTTATTTTATTTAACTTCATCTTATTTGAATGTAACCAGTTTATGTTAAAAGGCATTTTGGCACACACATTGAAACTAATTAGAAAATACATGCAGCAAAATACACATGGTATGTAAATGCATCTTCAAGGGAAATTTTGGCCTTCATGAAATGGTAATTTTTTTTTAAATCACCAACTAAGGGGGGGCAATCTCTGTAAACTACTTGATAAGAAATATGAATAAATTTTGTGTAGCACGTAACAGCGTCAATGTTTGACACAGTTTGAGTTGTAAAGGCTGTGTGCTATGACTCTCTTATTTAATATCCTTCGTCATAAATTCTTGTACTTTTTCATGCTTGTCTAAGAGCTGAACATACGATTCGTGTTGGTGTTTACATTACGGTTCATGCCAATATTTTTGTAAGAGGTGGAAACACCCTAGTAGTTTACGATCGATGTTATCTGGCATCCATTAGCCATCCTTTGTATCAATGACGCAGTTCTCCACCGGAAAATCCCGCGGCTTGTGTCGAGCTGCCTGACATCCTCATGTGACAACAAAAATTTGTCTGAAAAACTTAACAACGAAGGAATAACATTGATAAACCTAACCGAGGAGAGACAGGTGTCAACATGAGTGAAGACGCGGACTCCCCTCCTGAGAGGGAAATGAAGGTAACGCTGCGTTAACAAGTTTGTTGTCAAGTTAGCATGTTAGCTCATTTTTGCTAGCGCTGCGTCTGTTCATTTGTTTAGCTTAACTCGCTGCTAAGATAGAGAATCGGCTTAAATTTGTCTTTATAAGCCAAAAATATTTACACAGCTTACCCGCTGTAACACACTAGGTGGATGTAGATTCTTTAGTCGCAGTTTGAACATTAATGTTTGCATTACCTTTGCAGTAACTATGTACTTGTTAGCATAGTAGCATTATGTTACTGTAATAGCATTGCAAGTTGACAGAGCAGAAGAGTGTGGTATCTGTATATATAACCTCATCTCTTAACCTTTGCCTTTAAAAGAACGAGAAATCTTGTGTGCTCGGTATCAAACACTTGTTGAAAAGTAAAGTCTTGAATTTCGCATTGTATGCTGTTGAAAAACAATAGTCTGTTTGGTCAGAGGTTTTATTATTTCTGCACATTTACATGAAGTTGTGAACTCATAAATGCTGTGAAATACCCATGAACATCTGTGGTATGTCACAATTCTTTAAACTTAAATATTGCACCTCAAATTGTGCATGTATATCAAGTTTAATCTGTGTTTTGATTGTTGAAACTTGTATGTACAAGTTTATATTTGTATAATTTGTGAATAAGTAAGTATGTTATACATTAATCATGTGATTTGGATATGTAAACCAATTCTCCAAGTGTTTGACATTGTTTGACCCTTATTAAATTATGCCCTCTTTTTTGTGTGATATTCATTTCCATATGATTGTTTTGCTTTTTTCGTTACTTTGTTGTGTTGATGTGATGTATGATTGATTTTACTATCCTACTGATGTGTCTTTTAATTGTCCTGTAAGGTGTCTTTGAGTGCCCTGAAAGGTGCCTACAAATAAAATGTATTATTATTATTTTTATTACATGTGCTCAGACTTATATCTTATGACCCCTTAGGATTTCCAGTTTCGTCAGATGAAGAAGGCGAGAGTTTTTAACCCTTCTGACGAATTGCCGAAAGAAAGATCCAACCTGCTCACCGTCTCAAACAAATTTGGCCTTACATTTGTTGGCCTGGACAAAATATTCAAAGTTTACCTCACTCAAGATATTCTAGCGGCTGATAAAAACGATGGCAACTCCAATGAAATAGGTATGAAAATGAGCTTCCCGGTTTAAATTAAAACACGTTTGTATTCATTCCTGCTCTGCCTTGTAATGTGATGGACTATCACTGAAAAACATCAAGCTCAATTTCCATTTATGTCTTTGCCTCACAATTTACTCCAATTTTCCTTTTTGTTCTAGTCGAGGGGATTGCAGCTTTGGCAGAGGTGACTGTGGAAATGTCTCTGCATCATTTAGCTCTGAGCTGTGATGAGCTAACGTTGTCAGTATGTGGCGCGTCTGAGAGTGCTGGATTGTCCCTCACATTCTATGATGTCCGTACCTTCATGAACAAGGTATCTGCTTTAATCAAATAACTCAATATGCTTGTGTATTCATCATGCATTACTAACAGTGTAGAAAAAACTGTTAAAGATGTTGTTGAAGGTTTTTCAGGTTAACACAGTCTTCAATAATCAAGCTGTCCATTACTAGAAACAATGACTATTTAACAAAATTAGTTTACCGTATTTTCCGAACTTTAAGTCACACTTTTTTCATAGTATGGCTGGATTTGCGACATATATTAAAATATATAATTTCATACATAATTTAGTCTTGGATTTTGTCAAATAAATTTCCCCCCAATAATGCGACTTATACAGGTTAATGTTTTTTCTACTTCATTATGCATTTTTTGGCTGGTGGGATTTATACTCCGGAGTGACTTATAGTCCGGAAAATACGGTAATCATAAAGTCTCAAAATAGATAATCTAACACTTTTATTTTAGCCTGTATAAAAAGACAACACCTTCTGTACATGTTCACTTTGAGTTTTTACCTAACAAGGGTGATATTACAGGGTATATCAGCCTCCTTAAAGAATAGTTCGTGAATAGTTCTCCTACATTGTAATGGGGCAATATCTGTCACGTTCGCTCATTTGATCTGTTATTCATTAATATATGCTATTCTGATTCTTATTTTGACATCTTTTTTGATGCTGTTCTTCCCAGGGAAGACCACAGAAGTTACCTTTTGCGTCACTGGCCCCAGCAGTCCCTCCCGGCACGTTGGTCCAGGACCTAAAGTGGAATCCTGCGCAGGCATCCATGTTGGCTGCGTGTGTCTCTGACGGCAGTATGATGATTTTGGATGTTACTGAAGGAGTCCAAATCACAGCTCAGCTGCCTCCTCCAAGCGGCATCACCTGCAGTGAGTGAGACTCAAACACAGTAGAACCCCTTTCACACATACACAAAGTTCCTGAAAATATCACAAAGCCGCATGTGTGAACACAAACTGCTGAGGGTTTCTCTCCAAATTTACATTTCCCTACCAGACTCCTGGTATCATTTTTGGGTGAAGTCCCGGTGCACTCATGTGAGAACACAGCAGGAAATCTGGTGTCTAAGCACTGTGAGCAGTTGTGACTTTACTGTAAGAATAAGGCAGCATGGTTTGGAGCACTAACAAGAAACTTTTGGAAGGATGTATCAGGGCACCCCTTTGGTAGCAGGTTTCGATCCTTTATTACACAATCTGCCCTTAAGATTTCAGCATCAGATAACACTGTGGATACACACTGATGATGAGCACCCATTATTGAGGATTCTGTATACTGTGTGCACCTTCATAGGGAACATTATAGGTTAGAGGACTGTTTTCAACCAGGTAAAAGTACATTTATCGAGATGAAAATAACATTAAATAGTAGTAGTGACACTGCTTTATACTCGTCTTTTCACTCATCCGTTGATACTCTGCTAAATTACTCATTGCTTTGACATACAGGGTGTAAAGAAGAAAACAAGAACAGAGAATAAGATTTAGAGTTAATTAGAACAAATGGAAGCGTAGAATTAAAGGATTAGTGATTTTAATCATTGATAAAATTGTATGTCATTACACTGTGACTTCTATAGTGTCTATTTGATGCCATGATCAACCTCCTGAGCGCCTGTACCTCTGTCCGACAGAGTAGGCTTCACACTGCAAGGTTTTATATGGTTTTATATAAATGTATCTCTGCTGTGGTTTAACTGTTGTTCATGGATCTTCTCTCTCACAGTCTGCTGGAGTCCGAAAGGAAAACAAGTCGCAGCAGGAAAAATGGACGCCACAGTCAGTCAGTATACCCCAGTAAGTGAACACAATGCATCATCATTGAAAATCTGCATCTTGTTGCTTCGTGAAAGGTGAAACATTCAGAGACTAAGAAGAAAATCAGTAACACTTCACATGTAAAGGCGTAAGAGTTTAAAACGAGCAAAAGTTAAATCCTTTTTTGCAATTTGTTTAAACTGTTTAAATACAACAGATGAGTTTAAGAAGACTAACTGCTGTTTTCTTTCTAAAAGACACTGGAACAAAAGAAAGTCATTCCATGTCCAGACTTCTACACATCTGATGAACCTGTCAAAGGTAAGATGACTCCTGTATCACTTATGTTAATCTGTGTGCAAAGGCTGAGCTGTGGCTTATTTTATCTAATAAATGAACGAATCGTCAAGTAAGTGGTTTGGATTTCTGTTTGTTGCTGTGTACATGTCTTATCACTGGCTAATGCCTCTCTCTCTTGTTCTCTCTCTCTCTCTCTCTCTCTCTCTCTCTCTTAGTTCTGGATGTGCTGTGGCTGAAAACCTACGTGTTTGCTGTAGTGTATGCTGCTGCAGATGGCTCTCTGGAGACCCCTCCTGAGCTAGTGCTCATCTCCCTCCCTGTGAGTACGCCCTACATACAAACATCCACTCAATCCCAGCTATGACTTTTTCATCTTTGTGAGGTTGCCCTTCTTTTGCTTTTTGTCTCAGTGCATTTGACTATGAATTTAATTTAAAACTAACATGTTACCAGTTTGGTTTGTGATACTTTAACCACACAACCTCAAAAAAAGCGAGAAACAAATGAAGAATTGGCTGCTTTTCCAAGTTAGGTACATGGTAAATGGACTTAAATGTTGCTTTAAGAGTCTCTCAACGGGCTTTTACATTACTTGTCACATTTCCACCACATTCATACAGTGAGGGCAGAGGATGCTATAATAGGGCACCATCTGTATTAACTAATTTCCATTCAAACACATGCAACTGGAAGATAACTGACTGGACTGCAGAGCCACAGCCACTTTGAGGGTAACATGTAATTCAGTGTTACCACATTTTTATTAAGCGCTTCTGTAGTTACAACAACCAAACCAAAGACAAGAACCAGACTCAGACATGAAAAGCTTTTATTCTGACTCTTTGTGAAGCAGCTGCAGAAGTTGTATCAGTTGTTTAACCTTAATAAGCAAATGTGACAGAGTGAATTTGTTTTCGGTTATCGTTGTGTAGAAAAAGGATGAAAAAATGGAGACAAAATACTTGAACTTCAGTGACACGGTTTACGGCAGCTGCACTGGGCGACAGCACCACTACTTCCTCAGCCATGTGGAGGACTGGTAATCAAAACCACATTTTGCAAACACACAAAAAAAGCATGTTAACTGTCTAAAATGTGCTTGTAACTCCTTGAAAGTCATCATTTGTTTTTGTAAATGTATTAAATGTCTTAATTTTTTCTCTGCGTCTCTTATTTTTATCCAGGGATCTTGTATTTGCAGCATCAGCAGCCTCTATTGAAGTCAGCGTCATAGCCAGACAAGATGACAAGGTTCGTAAATAACTTTAAATCACTCAGCTTTGAATATAAATAGAAATAAAGGTGTTTTTTTTGTGTGTGTAGCTTTTATCATGTTAGGTCCAAAGAGTTGAATTCTGCTTGATTTGATCAAGGCTACAGTTGATAACACAAAGTTTTGACGTGCCGTGTTTTATATAAAGAAAGGTTGTTATTATCATTTTGTTTAGCTTTGATTTGCTGTATGTTTGAGCGCTTATTTTATGGCGTAAACACACCGAAAGTCAGACTCTTGATGACAACAGGGATTTGTCCCTTCAGATCTGGGAGCTTTGGATCCTGGAGGATGCAAGTCGGGCTGAACTCCCAGTGACCGACACAAACGAAGACACTCTTCCCCTCGGCTTAGCAATAGACTTCACCAGCCAGCAGGAGATCCACATAAGTAAGAGAATCTGGCTTCTTGTGCTCTTTTCTTTTCTTCACTCAGATCAGATTTTGACATCGACACAGTGTCACAGTAGGAGCTTTAGGAGAACAAAGCTATACTTTCTCATGAAGGTTTATGAGGATTTTTAAAGTCTTTTTAGGAAAGATTTGAGGAAAGGCCAAATGCTTTTCATACTAATTCTTATTCTGGTACAAATTTAAAAAAAGAGGAGTAGTATTAAAGTTCACTAAAGTGTACAGGCACCCCGGTGGACCTCCTGGTCGCATATTCACTGATGGTAGAAGCATAGAAGTCACAGCATGTTATCTACAGGAGCAGCAACTCCACCACAGACAGGCGTAGTAACCTGTTGATGTTTTCTGTTTACTGAGTCCAGCTGCTCCAGTCTGCGCTCTGCTCATGCTTCAAAATCCACACCCAGTTGGAAAGAGCACACAGCGTGAGACAGAGTATTAGTTTTGAGACACGTCAATGAGATGGGTGAACATCTCTACTTAGAGACAGGCGGCTTTGTAACAGATTTGTAACTCATTTCATGAAGTCCGGTGCTGATCAGATGCAAACATTCATGTATTTCTTCTATTTGCAATCTTGAAACAGACTGAAGTATCTTTGTAAAGTCAAAAGAAGTGAAATTCAACTTTTTTCACTCATTATTTCTTTACTTAAACGGCTATAACTGTTCTGTAACTTTCATCCTGATTCTATTAAAAGCATAAAAAAGCACTGAAAGCGTCGAGTATATGAGAAAATACTGAAATGACAGTAAAGACGATTAAAAGAAAATTAAACCAGCCGAGGCAGGTTTGTACACCATCTGCCACCAGCGATACCACCCACTGTGATAACTTTGTTTTATTAAACATTTATGCCAAAAAGAATTTCCATCGTACAAATGTTTTGTAATTTAAGAAAAATCAGCTTTTGTCTAACTTTTTGTCTGGGTTATCTCTTGTGCTGTATTTTATGTTTATTTTGATCGTTTTTTTTTGTGTGTTCCTACATATTTACATCAAACACTCCTCTATCTTGTGATCCTAAACCTATCGGGCGTCTTTGTGCATATAGCTTCCTCTGCATTGCTCTTTTGCTGCATGCCTAAAGAATAGTGATAAGCTTCTATCTCAGAACACTGTTTTATCTTAAATGGCCGAGTCTGCCAGACATTCACGTAGGGCTGCTGCTGCTGCTGTCTAGTCACATCTCTCCCCCGCGCACTGGCTCCAAGAACTCCCTCCCCCAGCTAGAGAGAAAAACCTGCAATTTGAGCAACATTTTGACATGATTGTAGAGTGATCAAAACCTTTTATCCGGAGAGAGACGTTAGATAGGGAAAGCGGAGGGAGAGAGTTATCTGTGGAGACAAAAAAAAAAAAGAGAAAAGAACGCACTCATTAAAATGGCTCAGACAAGCTAGAGGACCACAACAAACAACAAAGCCCAGACAATCCTGTTGCTGAATGCTGATGAGGTTTACCGTGTGCCTCTCCCTTCTGTTCAGTCTCTATCTCATCCCTTCTCACCATCTCTCAAACTTTAGTTTCATAAGTTAGATAAAACTGAACTTTTGATGCAGTTTTATTGATTTTTTTTGTCTGTATTGGTGCCCATTTTTAAGCAGAATTTGGATCATTTCATCCCTTGCAACTTAATATTTGTGCGTGTTCGCTCTGAGGTATTTCGTGTATGTATTCTGGAAAAGTACAAGCCTCTCAGTGTGTCTCCTAAGTAAAAGTTTGAATTTGTGCGGACAATAACTTATTGTCATAATGTCAGGAGAATACACGCAGCATGGGATGAATATACAGTAGATGCTAAACAGTAGGTAGTAGTCAGAGTGGTGAGTCAGCGGTAATTAATCACACTGACATGCTCTGCTACTGCTTTCATCCCCTGATGACAGTGAAAGTTATACTAGAGGAGAAGTTTTAAGATATGACACATACTCCTGCAGGGAACAAAAAAAGGACAAAGTGTTCAGGAAGTGGACCGATCTCAAAATGACTAGTATCATCTCTGACTAATGCATCTTTAATTTGGGGTGTGAAGACTCATTTAAATGTTGGTTTAGACTGGATTTTGCCATTTTTGTCTGCAGCCCACGGCGCACTGCGTGATTTTAGGAAGTGGGTGTGAAGAGCAGGGATGAGTTTGGGGGTTTGGCAGGAAGAGGAATGAAGTGGACTGTGTTTTACCAAATGAGGCATCTTAGGACACTTCTCTCACTACACGACTACAGTGTGCCTTTTCCCACTGAACACTGGGTGCTTATTATACCAGGCGGGAGGCGGGATAAGAGGGAAGGTCATGGTGGAAAGTAGAGCAGAAACATACATCGTTTGTACTCGGGTGTCTTAAACACTTTCCCGATTCAACCAGCGTTTTGTCATCATGAACAGAGCAAGCATAGCAAGCAGACAACACAGAGCTGTTAATTGTCTCCCTTGTGCTGTGGTGTGATTTGGACGCAGAGCTGTGCAGAACGCTAAATAATTCCTCACAATAGTCTGTTACTGTGCTATGAGGATTATGCATAAATGCAGCTCTTATTTCATAAACTTAAGAAAAAAAATCCCCACCAGAGAACCGGAGAGATTCCTTCTCGCTCTGATATCTGAGTTAGGTTATTTAATGTCTCATGAGGGGGTAGAAAGAAGACAAGATCGGCTCTTTGGTTTCATAATCAGTCGACTACACCCTTGTCTTTATCTAAATGTTGTTTTATCCGTGTCCCCTCTCAAAGCTGACGAGAAGACCCTGCCTCCAGCTCCCACCATGCTGATGCTGTCCACTGAGGGTTTACTGTGCCCCTTCGCTCTGCTCAACCTCAATCCCGGGGTCAAGCAGCTGGTCACAGCCCCCGCCATGCTCTCTTTGGAGGGGGAGAGACTTCCCAAGCCAGGTAAGTCAGTGTGTGAACTAACTCTTAAAAGATTTTGAAAGGACTGTTAAAGCACTTTAGGGGGACATGCCAATAACATTACTACCTCACAGACCCCACTGTGTGTGCAGAGTTATAACGCGAACTTTACATCAATAAACTGAAAGCTTCTCAAAACATAGAGGTAACAATAATCTGATGCACTAATAGAAAAGTGAGGAGAGTTTTCTCTTGTTTATTACTTCCTCTCTATATAAACAGAACTAACGCTATTTAGATAAACCACTGATGGGTGAAACGGACAACAAGTTCCAGATGTGTAAACTGATGTCCAATGATAATTTAGTCTAGACTTTCCCACCACCAGCGCAGTGCCGATGTGCTCTAACTGCTGATGTAATAGTTTAAGGAAAATGCATTGCCTAAAAAATGACAAGGGCTGTATTTTTCCTTCACAACAGACCTTATATATACCTGTTATGAGAGGGGCACAGCACTCTGAACTGCATCTTTAAGCCGATCAAAACCACACAATTTAATAAATATGCCCTCTAGCAGGGCACCAACTGAGGCTTAATTATGCTTTTATTTTTGACATAAGTTAGCAAAAATACTGCAAACGTTCACTATTAAACTGATGTATATGTAACAAGAGAATTTCCCCCAGTAGAGGATCAATAAAGCATATCTTATCTTATCTCTCTAATCTCAACTGACATACACTTCATCAGCAAAGATGAGGCAAAAACATGGCTGCAGTGAAGGTTTGTACCTGTCACAGGAATGCGTTTCTCGTACTTTAAACAAGAGATTAGATGCTCAGTGAAGAAAATATAAAAGATTTTGAATGTCAGACAGCCCACTACTAACATTTTTGCATCCTCATTGTCTCTTAAAAGGAAATTCAGGCATAAAATTAATTTAACACTGAGTCAGAAACCCCCTTGAGAGATGAATGTTGCCGACCGCTTGCTTCTCTAGTTATACCGACTTTAGTAACGACCGAACAAGGTCATACACAAACCTCAACCAAAACGCCGCTCTATAACTACAAATAATGCTCAGAACAGCACCTAACTTCATTAACAGTACATATAGGGTCATAGCCATAGTACTAGCCACAAAACATCTTTTTAACTTTGCCTAATTTCTTTAGCAAAGAGACTAAACTCAACTCACCTACTATTTTCCAGCAGCCGCTTGTTTGTATGGAGACCTTTGGCGAGTCCAAACTGGCGGCAGCGGGGTGACACAGCTCAAGGAAGAACATTTATGCTCATTTCTTTTATCATTTTCTTGAAGTAATAATCACCATATTAATTATTTTGCACTGCAGACGCGGTAGTTCTTCTGCCTTAGCGTCTCGGTCTGATTGCATTTCCATGAAGAAATGATCATAAATGTTCTTCCTTGAGCTGCATCACCCCGCTGTAGTCCGTAATGGACTTGTCAAGGTCTTGCTACAAACAAGTGGCTGCTGGAAGAGAGTAGGTGAGTTGTGTTCAGTCTCTTTGCTAAAGAAATAAGGCAAAGTTAAAAAGATGTTTGGTGGCTCGTGCTGTGGCTGGGACCCTATATGTCCTGTTGATGAAGTTAGGTGCTGTTCTGAGCATTATTTGTGGCTATAGAGTGGCTCCTGTGACCGCTGTGTATTGCTATCTTGCGGTCTATACTAAAGTTGGTATAACTAGAGAAGCAAGCGATCAGCAACATTCATCTCTGGAGGGGGTGTCTAACTCGGTGTTATGGTCTGTTTGACCCTCAATTAATTTTACGCTGGAATATCCCTTTAAATTAAAACCATAAACCGGTTAATTTCTATCGTCATCTGTGTATTCTTAGCTTGTAATCATCTTGTCTTTGTCATTACAACATTGATGAACATTCATCATCATAAATATAAAACTGGTTCCATCTGCGTTTCTAGTGTTTTCAGACCTGAACAGGTTTATCCTTCTCTGGCTTAAAAGTTATAGAGGGAAAAGTTTTTAAAGACTGTCTGGCAGCTTGCAGTGAAAAGAAAGTTAGTCATCTGTTCCATAGCAGTGGTTTTGTATATTAAGCACAACTATACAGTTTTTTTTCTCTTTTAGAATAATCCTCATATCCATTACACATTTTAAAAGCAAACTGGATTATTAAACGCTGACAGTCCTCTTTTGTTGTTGTGGAGTTGTGTGGACTTTGAATCCTCTAATTTTTCATTTGTCGGTGGTTTTTCCTTTTAGTGTTAACAAACATTTATTGAATGAGACCAGCTGTTTGATTATGTAGAGATCTTTGACTGGACTGTGAAATGCTAATTTTCCATTAAGCTGTCTTTTTTTCTTTTTGCTGCCAAACCCTTTCAATGAGGCTCGAGAACATTTGCTCAGACTTCTTTGATGTTTCAAAGAAAACAGTGCTGTGAAAAGTCTGGACTTTTTCCTCCCCTCCAAGGCTTATCCATTTTCTTTCCTACTATCAGCAGCCTTTGCTTGTAGACAAATTTGCCCGTGATGTGAGGAGATCAAAACAAACAAATTTATTTTCTGTTCGCAGGGTCTTTGGCAGCACAGCCTCCCAAAGTTGCTGCCTCCGTCCCATCTGCCCCAGCCACATTCTCAAACCTCGGCCTGACTCCAGCAGCTGTTTCCACTCCTGCTCCTGCTGCCTCCTTCCCTGCCGCCCCATTCAGCATCGGTCCCATGGCTTCCACATCGGCATCCTCGTCAGGCTTTTCTTTCTCGGTCCCATCTTCAAACTCCTCCTCTGCACCGTCAGCCTTCTCCCAGGGGGGGTTTGGGTTTGGATCCTCGATATTCCCTTTTGCCTCCAAACCTCCCTCCGAGACTCCTTCAGCATCCTCTGCGTTTTCATTCGCCTCCACTATTAAGCCGTCAGCGGTGGCAGCTACCGCCCCATCTCCTGCTCCTGCTCCAGCTCCCGCTCCTGTTCCCGCTCCTGTTCCTGCTCTGACTTCTGCTCCTCCTCCAGTTCCAGCTCCAACACCGCAGACTGTTGCTGCTCCCTCCCCTCCAACTGTGAAACTAAATCTAAATGGGAGGTAAGTCATTATTTTTACCTTACACCTTTTATTTTTTTTTTATCATGTTGTCTTCACTTTTACTGGATGTTGCAGCTGTTCAGAATCGGAAACATGGGAAGATGCTTTAGCCACTGTCTAAAACCTGAGCCCTAACCTTTCAAATCCAACGGAAACAGTTCCTGTACATGAATAAAAAAAGGATTATCTTCTTTTTTTAAGGTTTTCTGCACTGGAGGCCCCAGCATCAGCCCCACAGTCGTTCTCCTTCAACTCTACGATACCCAAGGCAATCGTCTCCAGCAGTTTGACGGCACCTCCAGCCTCAGCCACCAAACCACCAGCTGTTCTGGGTATAAAAGCCCTTCTCCTGTCCCTTCACTATTGTACTCTATTAAACATGTGCAATCCCAAATGATAATCATGATTGTAACTTTGTTGTTGCAGCTCCAGTGCGACCCGTTCAAAGCAGCACGCCACCCACAGTCGTCCAGAAACCCGCTCCTGCCGTCCAGGGCCGCGTTCAAACTCCACAGGTTCTGTCTGTTGTTTATGAAGAATATTTTATTTGTTTGCAAATTTAATAAACCTCTTTAAAAATGTATTAAAAAGTATGTCAAAGCACATATTCACCACAGGGACTCTCTGAAAGTACAAAGCCTTCATAATGTCTCGTCCCGTCCCCCTCAAGCGATGATTTGCTCTTGCCTGGTCAGAGAAAGGACTTGTTAATACCTGCTGTTAGTCTTGCAACAGGCTGCCAGTAAATGTCTTTGTGTTTAAATGAGCACATTTCCTTTCTATTTTGAGTTAAGACATATTGCCTTTTGAGCCTGTGATGAATTGAGCGTTGCGGTTTTACATGTTGAAAGTACTTTTGAAAGTAGAAAAAAAAACCTGTCTACAGGAAGTAGCTTTTGAAAGATACTTGAATGGGTGTCAAACACACACATCACGCCACCCCTGTGTAAGTCAATTGGGCCACCTCGGCCCTAACAGCTGGTCACACCCCTGCTCTGTCATCTAATGGCCAATTTTGTTAGCGTGAAAAGTTTAAAGTTGTGAAATACTGTCACAAAATGATTTATGAAATGGTACAAAGCGTTAATTTTAGAGAGACAAGCAAGTACAGATAATGATGAAGTATTTACATCAACAATGATCTGAATAAATAAAGGACTGACACAATGTAACTGCTTTAGAACTCTAACTGCAGCTGTTGCCATGAGCAACAGTGTTTCCACTGTTTATGGCAGTTGGAAGTGAGAGCAGCTGCTTTCAAGAGGTGAAAAGTGTAAACTACATGACGGAAAATCTTTTGTCTCGTTTAATATTTTTCAGATTTGTTCAAGGTTGTATTTATTGTGTCTTTTTTCTCACAATCCGCAATAGCAGTTGTGTTGATGTAGCTACTTGACTTCCTCTCTCTGCAGGCAGCTGTTAGCATGAAGGCCCTGGAGAAGCAGCTGCAGCAGAAGAAAGACTCTGATCCTATCATGGCTGGTATACTGGAGGAGGTGAGACAAATTGAGTCAGGTGAACCTAGCACTGCTTTTAATTGGTGAATTTGTGAACAAGCTGGATTCACAATGGAATAAAAACCAGCTTTATGTAGATCCACGTGTTAAAGACTGCAGAGTGCTTTTCCTCATGATAGACATTTCTGTTGAAGTTTGAAATGACTTTGATTTTTTTTATCACTTTTTATCGTACATGTATGAGTGACACTGTTTCAGTGTTAGCAGTTTGTTTGTAAGCATTAGGTATAACAGGTTTAAGTGTGTTATCTTTAAAAATTAAAGGGATATTCCGGCGTAAAAGTAAGCTAGGGTCAAACACACCGTAACACCGAGTTAGACACCCCCGTCAAGAGATGAATGTTGCCGACCGCTTGCTTCTCTAGTTATACCAACTTTAGTTACGACCACATGAAAGCAATACACAGCGGTCTGAGGAGCCACACACAAAACTCAACCAAAAAGCCACTCCTATAGCCACAAATAATGCTCAGAACAGCACCTAACTTCATCAACAGTACATATAGGGTCCCAGCCATAGCACTAGCCACCACACATCTTTTAAGCTTTGCCTAAAATCTTAAGCAAAGAGACTAAACACAACTCACCTACTCTCTTCCAGCAGCCGCTTTGTTTGTAGCGAGACCTCGGGCCAGTCCATTACAGACTACAGCGGGGTGACACAGCTCAAGGAAGAACATTTATGATCATTTCTTTATCATTTTCTTGAACTAATTATCACCATATTAGTCATTTTGCACTGCAAATGCGGTAGTTCTTCTGCCTTAGCGTCTCAGTTTGACTGCATTTCCATGAAGAAATGATTACAAATAGAGTTAAAAAACCAGTGTGCAGCATGAACAAATTTATCCAACATTAAGTAAAGCAAGTTGCATCACATAAACTATTTTCGATGTAGAAATAAGTTCTCTTCAAACAACCGCAGGCTTAGATGATACTGTTTGAAAAACAGCCCTGACTTTCTCACGAAGGGTCTGTTTTTATTAGGATGTTGGTCAGATAGAGGCAAACTTGGAGAGCTATAAAACACTGTTTATTCTCCCAAAACATCCTAATAATGTAGAGATTAATGCCAATAAAATCATGCTAAGTGACCAAATCAGATTGCGGGTTAGGTTAGGCGATGATCTTTGCCTAAATTCTGCCGTTGCGTAACATGTTTTGGATTTGTCATCAGATTGCACATTTCCAGAAGGAGTTAGACGACCTCAAGGCACGAAGCACCAGAGCTGAATTTAAAGTTGGCACCAATGACGAGATGAAGGCACTGAGGAAGGACTCTGAAGATCTCCATATTTTCACCCTGGAGATCAAGGAAACAACTGAGGTGAAACCACTGCTCAAAACTTGTTTATACCTACCCTAATCTATGAATATTTCAGTATTTGAAATTTTCTGAAACAAAACTTAAGTCTGAGCTGATCCAAATTATTTAAGTAACATCTGTTGGTGATTTAATTCAGAAATGTGTCTTTTTTTCTTGAATGACGTCAGTTTTTATCTTCTACCTTTGTCTGTTTATGATTTCAGTCCCTCCATGGGGACATTGGCACCCTGAAGACCACCTTACTGGAGGGCTTTGCCGGGGCAGAAGAAGCCAAAGCTCAAAGTGAGCTGAGCAGAGACAAAAATTACAGACAGCTGCTGTACAAAAAACCTCTGGACCCACGCAGTGAAGAACAGCTGAAGGTGAACAGCAGGCGGATGACTCAAACAATATTTGCATGAATAGATTCTTCTGGGAACCTACTTAATCACAGGATTTGCTTCATTTATTTTGTTTTTTTCCCCCACTTTTTCCAGGAGATTCGCAGATTGTACCAGTATGTTACGTTTGCTGTTGAAGATGTCAATGATGTGTTGGATGTGGAATGGGAGAAACACCTGGAGAGGAAGAAAAAGCAGAAGTAAGCACAACTCTATAAGAATGTGACACTGAAAAGGTTTTGGTTTATGCATCATTTGGTATAAAATTGTCCTCTTTTGTTTTTATTTTTATTTTATTTTACAGACACATGGTTGTGCCAGGTCGTGAGGGTCTGTTCACCACGCTGGCTAACAACCTGTACATTATCAATCAGCAGAAGAACAGACTGGAGCAGCTGATTAAGGAACTCACTGCTCTGCGCCTCTATAACAAGACTGCCACTCCGACTATAGACCGCAGCACTGCCACTGCAGGAACAGCCGGGTGAGAGCTGGGGCCAGTCACACCCCTGAAGTAGTCTATGCTTTAAATGAGCTGAATCTAAAACCGCTCTGAATACTTGTTAATGAATAACTGCGATGTATTTGCTGTTTTTAGCAAGTTTGCAATGCTGGATCACAGCTTAAGACATCTTTTGAGAAAGCACTAACTTCTATCACTATAACAGTCTGTAACAGATAGCAGCATGTCTTTATTTAATTGCTATTATTTGCTTCCGTACACTAAAACATCTAATATTGCTTTTAACCTGGCCTTCATTGTGTTCTATGACAGCATGGAAAGTGAGATCGAGAGTTTGAGGGATGCCCTCCTTAAAGCCAAGCTGGACACCGCCTCTCCTAAAACCCCATCCAAATCTCCAGGTACCCGCCTGTTTTTACCTCTAATATAAATAACAATAAAGAGTCTCTGGTCTGTGAAATATGACACAAACTAACTGTTAATCTTTATCCCAGCTGTGAAGATGTCACCGGTGAAACAGTCTCAGCTGCGTAACTTCCTCTCAAAGGGTCAGATGCCTCCTGTCCGCTCGACTGCACCAGGTACACGAATCCTGATCGAACAACTTTAATGACACTGATATCAGGAAGAGAGACCATTTCTTTTTTTTAAGTATGACATTATATGGGTGCAAAGGAGTGATCAAATCTACCTCTGCCTACTCAACCTAATTTTCATGATGGTAGAGAGGAGAAAAAGTCGGAAACAAAAGAGATTCTTTCCTTGTTTTGACTGCTTTGTCTGACACTTCTTTTACTGGATTTTGCAAACTCTGTTTTTCCAGTAATGACAGCGAGTTAGCTCTTATCATGCAGATTGATGTGGGGGCGTACTTTTTTTTAAGCTTCAACTTTAAAAAAAAAAAACGGGATATAAAATCATGATTGACAGCTCTGGTGTTCTTTACTGGATTAGCAAAGTCGGAAAGGAACAGCGAGAGAAAATACAACTAACCCAGTAGTCGTTAAACTATGCTTCGTCGACATGCATCCTCGCTTGAAACAACCACAAATGCATGTTTCCTCTCTGGATTGCACCGTCCTGATTGCAAACTAAAGTTCTGGATAGCAGGCGGGGTGTGATGTCAGTCCTGTGGGTCCACCAGCCCAGATTGCTTCTGTGCACACTGATTGAATTTTGACCTCAAATCTCACGATGGAAGGAGCACAGAGGCGCCGTATTGATTAGCAGTCAGTGGTTTAAACAGATAGATATTGGATAGATCATTCAGTTTAGTAGGGTGTTAAACGTGAGCAGATTATCTGTGTGTAAAGACATTAAACTGTTTAATCACTGAAGCTCTCAGGTGCATTTAAAAACTGACTCTTCATAATTCATAAGAATGCATTACTTCAATATACTGTCAAACTAATCGTACTTGACTGATTGGCCAAATGTGAAATCTATCACATTTCCGTTAATGTGCATCCCTTCGTTAATTTTCACATATTTCTCCACTTTTCTCCTCTCTTTTAGCTAACTTGTCTCGCTCAGCCTTCCTGTCTCCTAAATACTACGAAGACCTTGACGACGTGAGCTCTACATCCTCCCTGTCCCAGTCCCTGGAGCCGCATCCAGCTCACCTGGAGCTGGAGGAGGAAGAGGAGCTACAGTCAGAGCCATTTCCCCTGCCCGTTCTCCCGCCGGCATTGGCCACACCCCGCCACCCCACAGTTGTGAGGACCCCTTCTATCCAGCCAGGCTTTGGCGCCATCCAGTCCACCCCTTTAACCAAACTTCACTCTGTGCCGGGTATGGGGTTCGGACTCAGCCCCATCGCAAGTCCTGGTGAGGAAAACCTACGCTCGAATAGTTTGTTTAAGATGCTTTTTTAATTTCAAATCCAACACGAACTGCAGCTTCTCAACTATCAGTGATGCTTTGCTTCACATGTGTTTTCACTGATTTGATATTACAGTTCCATCCAATAAGATCAACCTCAGTGGGGCTGACAGCACCGCCCTCGCCACAAAGACGGTGAAACATGGAGCCCCACCAACTGAAAGGAACATCCCCGTCACCATCCCCGCCCAGCAGGCAGCTGCTACAGCTGCACTACGCAGGCAGATGGCCAATCAGAAGCCAGGTAGGAGCTCTGCTATTGAATGTGGATGTTTGTTTTTTTTAAACGAGAAGCTGTTGTGAATAGTCAGGGGTAGCATTCTGTGTATAAGAGGCCTTTTGTTTGATATTGTGCTGCTACACCAACTTTATTCAGCAGGGGGAGACACAGACCTCCAGACTGAGGGATGTAAGCCTATGTGACCCAGCTTAAACTTAAAGCTCACTCATTTATCTAATGTATTATTAAAACCAGGCTTGAGCCACCATGACAACACTGTGCTCATTTTACTACACCTGGCTGCTCTTCATATGTTTTCAAAATAAACAGTCTCTAAGTATGCGCCTTTCACTTTCACTTTTGTTTACTTATATAAGTTGTTGTGTGCTTTCCAGCGATCATCAGCACTTCTCTGACAGAGTCCACTTTGAAGACCGTTCCTCAGGTTGTCAACGTGCAGGAACTGAAGGACAAGGGGCCTCCTGTGGTTTCTAACATCATCGGGTAAAAATCAAACCTTTTTGTAGTTATGTCATTAAAATTCTTTAAGTATGAGTCGACAGCGATCGTAGTCTTGATATATTTAGTCAGTATAGAGACAGACTGTTTTAAGTGAGGAGCTTTTAGGTGGTTTAGCCTACAATACTTGAGTATACTTTATACTGAGCCACTTGTTTGTGATTATGTGTCTTTAGGTGACTGTCAAAGGGTCCCATCAGCAGGCTACGATCATTGCAGAATAGTTTTAACAGTAGTCAAACATGAATGCATCATATAATACTGTATAATTCACAAAACTTTAAATAAGTACAAAATTAGAATTTCCATTGTCTTTGGAAATAAAGTATTTAGTCGATCATGTGCCCCTCTTTACCAGAAGAACTTTATTGCTCTCCGAAGGGAAATTCAAAGTAAAGTTAACAACTTAAAATGGGTTGAAAAATTATGAGATAACAGACATTGTACTTCCTAGATGGCTGGACCATATAAGAAGATAGCATGACAGGCCATTAAACCCAGATGTAAAAGATGTAGGGCTCCCCCTGCTGGCTGGCTGCAGTATAAGCCATTATCCTCTCCTCCATGGTAACAAATTTGACCTGAGAGGAACTTAAAACTCAAAATAAACATCAAATATATTTCTCTAAGACATAATTTCTGTCGTAAACTTGTTTGTTTTCTAGAAGTTTAGTTTTTATCAATTCATTTTTGATAAAAATAGAGTTTGATGCCATGATTGACAGTCCTGACAAGCACAGCCTTTTAGCAGAAACGGGGAGGAACAGGGAGAGAAATCACAGCAAACACTGTTTGCAGACTTCGATATTTCAGCTTTTGCTAATCTGTAGCTCAAATGTGTAAGATGTCATCGCCCATCATGAGAGGGATTTTCCTTCATTTTACTGTAAATCGATTATGATTCAGTGATGTTTTACTTCAGTAGGCACTGGCGGCATCAAGGAAGTGGTTTTGATTTGCATACAGGAGTACACCTCTGTATTAGCGCCTCATTTTGCAGAAAAACGAAACAATCCCACCTTGTTTTCAGTCTGTGGGCACTAAGTAATACGTTGCAGATGTTTATGTCTGATTCACTGCAGAAAAAAGTGCTTTGGGGATTTTATAAAATGACTTCAAAGTGTAAAAGTCAGAAAATCACCTCGCTGGTTTTCATCCATTTCACTTTGAGCCCTTTGGTCACATTTTAATTGACTTGGCAAATTAAGCTAATTAGGATTTTGTAATTTCCCCAATTCATTATTCTTTTCGTGTGTAATCAAGCACTTCTTCATGTTCATACACATCCTTTCTATGTTTTCACTCGTTAATATTCAGCAGGTTATATAATATTTATGACGTGAAATCATGCCTGCATTCACTTAGATCTCTTTCGGATACAGAGAGTAGACAGTCTGTCACTGCGACTCCTCGAGGGCTCCCATGTTTGTTTTGAGAGTGTATCCTCAGTAAAGTTTTATCAGGTCACTGAATACCCGTAATCCTAGTCAGCGTACATGACAAAAAGCGACTGGCGGTCCTCTGTTTGCATCCCAGCTTTCCCCCCCTCAAGCCTGGTGTCTTTCACTGTTTTTTTTTTTTTTAGTGTCACATTTTAAAGTCCAGAATGTGTCCTTGGATTGACGTGGATTATACTACAAATATGTTGTGATTTTACATCCAGTTTTCTGGAGACTGGAGCAATGATAAAACTGTTATTTTTATTTCTCATTTCTATAATATTAGCTGTTAGTTTTTTACTCCACATGCTGCATGTTTTGCCACATCCCGTCTCATGCATCTTTGTGTTTTTACTTCACTGGGCTGTGCTCCACTTTTGTGCTTGGTATTTGAACAGACCAGCCCTCCTTGGGGCTTTTCCCAAACAAAACCTTTCTTTCAATAACAAACAAGCAAAGAAAAGCATTGTGAGAGAGTTAAGATGATTATGAAAGTGAGCTTTTCAATAAGGGCGCTCTAAAACCTCCATCAAACAAAAAACGCTTCACGCATTTCTACAACCGATTTCCAGCTTTATACGAAGAACTAGTACAAATATTTCACAATAACAACACAAAACTAACATTTTTTTATGTTGCTGTCAGGATTATATTATTGCATCAAACTGCAAATCAAAATTCTATGTTCTGGCAGAGAGGTGATAATTTTATATCCATCCCTATGTGAAAATTGTAGGTTTATCACTCTGTTTATTAAAAACTTTTTGCTTAAATGTTAAGAAAGTTTTAAAAAGCACTTATCCCACTTACTTCTCTGTTATTTTCACCAGCTCATCTATACCAGACGGAGCTGCTCAAGTCTTTGCAGCAGTTTCCAACCAGGCAAAACGAGTGAGTACAAAAGCCACCGATCGAGCTGACATTCAGCTTTTTGTGTTTCATTCACCCAAACAGCTGTAGCGCTTTGTCGGATGCCGGGTCTTGACAGGGTGAGCGGTGGATCATGGCAAAGTCAAACAACAGGATTTGAGCAAAATTTTAGCCCGATCTGACAGTCACCGGGTGTCGAGGAACTTAATAATGCTGGCTGGTCAAGCATGAAACAAAAACGGGAGTATTAATGTACCTGTAATAAGGGAACTCTCTCTAGTAATTTTAAGTCAGAGCTGCGCGTTACTTGATTATATATTTTATTCCCTTTATTGTCAAGATCAAGCAAACTCGGTGTTTTAGCGCCCCACTCCTTATCACTTCAAAGAACATCGGACTTGTCAAAACTCACAGATTGCTGACAGTTTTTATGAAAAGACCCGCCATCAACTGCACGGGTGAGAAATGTTGCAGCTTCCTCCCATGTTGATGCTACAAGTCACAGTGGGGCGAAAGGGGAACTCCTCGCACGAATCTTCAGCACTTCAGCTGAAACAGGAATAACCCAAACATGTCAGTGTTTGGAGGTGTGCAAAAACATGCACGCTGAGCCGTCGCTCACTGTTCACAAGAATGTGTTTTATGTTGTTGAACTCGTTGACATTACAGCACATTACATGTACAGCACACACTGAAGGATGTCTTTTTTTTCTGAAATCAAAGACTCATATGATAAAAGTTTTAAAGCCAGTCTCTTTGCAGAACTCTGCCCAGGGCATTCAGAAGATCTTGTCTGAGAGTGTGACCGCTCCACAGTCAGGCTTTGTGTTTGGTAAGCACAGATCATTTCAGAACATGCATGTCGAAAAACATCTGATTTTTGCTTCGTGATCTTTTCTTTTCCACAGTAAAACTATATATTTGCAATCACTACACTGCTGAGAATTGTGTGTTTTTAGGAGATTTCCATTCCCTGTTGCTAACATTTAAATATTTCAGCATCCTTTTTGCACCCGCTAGTTTCTTTTCTTCACATTTTTTAGTATTTTGCTTATATCGCCAAGTACCGTTCATTTTCTCTAAAATTCTTATGACTTGATTTAATCCTTTATGTTGATTTTGACCGAATTTGTGTCCCTCAGGTCAAACACCCAAACCTGACGCGTCTGTAGCTCAAGCCAGCTCGACAGAGCAGAGCACCAGCAAAGGCTTCTCCTTTACATCAGGGTGAGTCAAAGAAGTTTTTTTGAACTTAGAGTTGCAAACTGCATGTGAAAGCTTGCTTGTGGGTAATTTATAAATTTGTCTGATTTATAAATTTCCTTTTTCCTGATGATACCACACATATTATTGTATAAATTAACAAAGAGTAAATATTCTGTCCCTCTTGTTTCTTTTTTGGCTCAAATTTTCTCTTGTAGAGCTTCAGGCTTTAGTTTTCCCACGGTTTCCCAAGGAGCAGGGATGTCACAAGGTAAAAAAAAACAGGATTATGTTGTCAGATGATTCTAGATGGACGCCACGACATACATCTTTCTTATTATTTGATTTTTTTTATCATTGTGTCTTTGCAGCAAAGGATGTAAACAAATTCTCTTTCGGTGGAAACGGCAAGATCGTGTTTGGCCAGCCAGGAGAGGAGCCGTTCTCCCTCACCCCAAAGTCCACCTCCCCTGCCCTCGGCACTGCTTCACCCACCCCGCCTCCAAATGTGCAAGTAGAGAAACCCACCCCTGCCACATCTGCCCTCAGGGTGGATCCACAGCCCCCCAAAACAGCTGGGGGAGAGACTCTAGGCAGTTTTTCTGGACTGCGTGTTGGCCAGGGAGAAGAAGCTAAAGATGCATCCACCAAAACTCCCGCTGCTCCTTTTGCATTCGGGGAAACTGGACTTGGTGCAGCGATGGGAGCGGCACAGTTCAGCTTTGGCGCAGGTCTTCAAAAGTCTGCAGAAGATTCCACAGGAGTAGATTTGTCCAAGGGGGCAACGTCAGGCAGTTTGTTCAAGCCTCCTGAATCCGCCTCAAAGCCAGCTTTCTCCGTTCCTCAGTCTAGCTCAGGAGCCTCCGGTTTGCCTACATCCTTCAGTAGTCTTCTTGCTGCTTCTCCAGACTCCACAGAGCAACCAAAAGCCTCACCACCACCACCTCCAGAGCCCACACCTCCCCCTGAAAAAGAACCTGACCCTGAACCAGCTGTCGAGCCTGCAAGTTCCCCAGTTATACCCGAAACTGCAGCTGATTCAACCACCACAGAAACCGCAGCAGCGACAGTTACAGCACCATCACCTGCACCAGCTGCACCCACCCCAGAACCTCCCTCTTCTATCACCCCACCCGCCGAAGAAGCCCCTCCACCACAAGCCAGTGCAGCCCCTGCAGAGGAAACCCCTGCAGACACCACCACCACTGCCGCCACCACTACTTCTGCTCCTGCTCCCAGTTCAGATGCTGCCCCGGCTGTCTCCCAGGCAGCTCCAGCAGCGCTCCAAGCTCCCAGTTCTGAGAAACCGGGCTCCATTTTCACCCAGCCTGCAACTGCGACAACAGACAGCAGCACCGTTGAAGCTGTTCCAGTCATCAGTACAGTCGCCCCTGCTGCTGCCACCTCTCCAACCGCTACAGTAGTCAGCAGCACAACAACTACCACTACTGCCTCTGTTTTTGGGCAACCGGCTGCAACTGCTGCACCTGCAACTGCTGCACCTGCAACTGCTGCACCTCCAGCTACCTCCGCGCCTGCAGCACCGACAGCACCGACAGCAACAGGATTTAGCTCAACTGGTTTCGGCTCAGCAGCCGGAACCGGATTTGGCAAATCTGTTTTCGGCCAAGTGAGCGGCTTCGGCCAGGCCGCCGGCAACACGGGAACAGCCAGCGGCTTTTCTTTTGGCCAATCAGCGTTTGGAGCGACTTCTAACACGGCGACAACCGGAGGGGGTCTTTTTGGAGCCGCCACAGCGAGTAACGCCAGCTCTTTCACCTTTGGAACGAGCAGCGCTAACACAGCCAGCAGCACAGGCTCTGGGCTGTTTGGACAAAGCACAGCTCCAGCCTTTGGACAGAGCTCTGGATTTGGGCAGGGGTCTGTGTTTGGGAGCAACACAACCACATCCTCATCTTCAGGGTTTAGCTTTGGACAGCCCTCAGGTGAGAAGGATTCTGACGTTGATTTCCTGCTGTTAACTGGTGAAGAATGAATGTGTAGCTGACAGATCTACTGCTTTTCAACCCAAGTATAAGCTTTTCCCCCATAAATAACATGAAAAAACTGATTTATTATTCGGGGATAGGCAGTTATATTTCACAGTTCCTTAAAACAGCGCCACCTATCTGTGAAGTAAGTTTTCCCTGACGACTGAGTCCATCCTGACACTGAAATGTTCAGGAATCTTTTTGACTATTTTCAGATGATAAAATGACAACTGAAGGCTTGTTTTTACAGAAACGACACAGAAAATTTTCAGTCGACCTCACTTTATTATCAGTTGAAGTGGTGTAGATATCTTTTTTTAATTAAAACTAAATGATTACCATATTTTCTGGACTATAAGTCGTGCTTTTTTCGTAGTTTGGTTGGGTTTGCAACTTTTACTCAGGTGCGACTTATAGTATATATTAAAATATATAATTTCACGTTTGTTTTTTTTCACACTGACAGCTGCTAGAGGGCACTCTAGATGTTCAGAAGTGACACAGAGGATGAGGAATTGGATGGATGTAGTGATTTGGAGTGAGATCGAGAGTTTGGTATCTGAAATACTGTCGATATGTTACACTAACATACCAGACACCTATTGAGTTCGTTGTTTATGCTTCATGTCGCTGAATAACCATCAACATGCTATGTTTGCATACCCTACACCTATTCAGCCTGTTCTCTATTCTATTTTTATTATCATAACTTGCCTTTCAAGATGAAATGTCTGTTCTTGGTCTTGGAATTTGTAGAATAACCCCCCCACCACCACCACCACCAAATACGACTTATATCGGTATATGTTATTCTACTTCATTATGCTTTTTTCGGCTGGTGCAACTTATAGTCCGTAAAATACGGTATGTACTGTGACTCTCCATTTAGGCTTACAACCCCTGAACTACAGTGTAAACTACTATCTGTAAAGGCAGCGGGCAGTAAAAGAAGGTCTGAGTGTTCACATGGGTCCATGGTAGTTGAATGTGACACTTCTGGCCGTTGTCTTCAGTGTACTTCCAGCCTGGTTAGGTGGAGGTGTGGCAGCATGAATAAGAAGGGTGGCATGAGGAGAGAGGGGAGTTGCCCCCATTCCCAAAGATTCCCTAGATTCCCAAAGACGTAGGGGAATGTCAGTGTCTCAGAGGACAGCAGATGCCGATGTATCAGCCGTTCAGCACAGCTTTACACACCTGTCTGCAGACTCTCAGGAGGCTAGAGTTTCAGAGGCTGTCTTATTCTGTTTGAGATGAGAAAAGATTTCTTTTTTTTTATCATTTGTTACTAAATTTATCTTTCCTTCTTGGTACAGCTTTTGGCTGCTCCTCCTCCGCACCTGTGTTTGGCTCACAACAAAGCAGCGGAAGTGTTTTTGGACAGGTATGAACCACTGACTTTTTTTTGATGTAGCTACCTGTGAACATTACCGTCTTTTAATTATTTTTTGCTCTTCTTATAACTCAGCAGCAGTCATCTTCTGGTGGAGGCTTGTTTGGTTCAAGCTCAGCAAATACACCAGGCTCAGCTGGTGTTGGAGGGTTCTTTGGAGGCCTGGGAGGCAAACCAAGTGAAGAAGCTGCCAACAAGAACCCATTTGGCACCACCTCAGCCCCTGGGGGTTTTGGACAGGCAACTCAGACAGGTATTACACTGATTTATACATAGTCTATTGAGTGTTTAAAATTCAGGAAGCTGCACCAAAAACCCCCATTGGGACGTGGATTTATTAACACACTTCTCCTCCAGGTGCCACCAGTCTGTTTGGGAATAGCGGTGCAAAGACCTTTGGATTTGGACAGTCCTCCTTTGGTGAGCAGAAACCCAGCGGGACCTTCAGCACAGGTGCAGGGAGTGTTGCGTCACAGGGATTCGGCTCCTTTTCTTCTCCAGCAAAACCAGGTACAGCTCAACTCTAATTATTTTTAAACTATACAGCGCATTAAAAGACACTCAACTTTGTTGCATGGCAACAGCGAAAGAGGCTTCGAGAATGCTCAGGGGCCTTAAAGGGACAGTGGCTTCAAGGAAGCATGCCAGACTAAAGGTCCTTTCACACCGGGACAGTTTTTGTCGTGCGATTATTTCGGACGTCAACATTTTTTTTTGAACCCGTATCCTATACAAGCTATCAATACAAGCGTTCACATCAGGGCTGTTTTCCCGTCCTGCAATATAGCGGCATTTATTTTTTCAGATTATGGTCGATTTTTCTAAAGTTTTGCATACTGTGTGTCCACTTCTAACCAATCAGAGTGCGTGTGGTTGTGACGTCGGATTCACCGATACGTCCAACATGGCCGACCGGCTAATTGTTTATGATCATATACACACACTTTACAAAGATAGCGACCTGAAGGACAACTTGTGGAGAGTCATAGCATCAGATTTCTGATATGATGATGGTTTGTGTGCTTTAACAGGTCTTTGTTTTAACTTTCATCTGTGCTAACGTAAGCTAACGGTTGTAACCATAGTTTCATGTGCTTATCTGGTATTGGACCCAACTCAGTACATGGTTCTGAATAGGTTCTGAAGCAACCGTGGTACAGTTTCAGCTCCTGAACCAAGCAGTGAAACTCACCAAGTTTTTTTTTTTTTTTTGTAATATTGGATGCACCCATGTGCTACGTTTCTTTTTCTTTTGAGAAAGCAAAAGAAGTACCAATTCGCCATCACTTGAAGTTGAAGTAGACTCCATTTTTGTCTTCTCGCTTTCACCCAGTACGCTGTAGGATGGTAAGGGAAGGTCCCGCCCTCCTTCTCCTCTGATTGGCTATAAGTGCTGACCGTTTGGCTTGAGCGTGTGATGACGTTTCCAGCTTTTCTAGCCAATCAGAGGCAAAGGAGGGGGGACTTTCCCCAGGGATGCGTCTTTTTCCCCCCGGAAAGTCGCAAAATTCGCCTCCGAATATTTCATAATTTCGCATTCTATATTTGCATTGGCCCCAGTGTGTAAGGACCTTAAGGCTGAGTTCGAGCTGAGTACATCGGAAGTCAGATGTTAGAGCCAAAAACAAGATGGCTACACCTACGAAACTTATTTGAGCGCTTGTTATTTTAGTTACTTTAAGTTATTTTTAGCATCCCCTTTCGTAGATGTAGCCATCTTGTTTCCGCCTCTGATTTTGCTTTTTTTCCAATTTGGTATCTGAAGCGCTGGTAACTCGGGTGTGACGTCATTCCCAGCTCTGACATCTGACTTCCGAGGTAACTTGAACGCAGCATAAGTTCCTTAAAATGATTTCAACCTCCGTAAAAAGTGATGCTTGTTTGTTTGTACTCGGCTTTTCAAATTTGATAAGAAAACGCATGCTGTAGACATTTTCCAGACCACACTTGTTTCCGTTTGTTGTCAGTACATCCACAGGGTATGAATATTTTTCATTAGAAGTGAGCCTAACAAATGTAAATACAGCAGTTACGAGGTGCATACAGATTTCCACGCTTGTATTAGCCGTGTATGATATTCTCCCGCTCAAAGGCTTTGCTGTGGTAATGTGTGAGGCCCCGCCGTGGAAACCCCGCTCACCTTTACATAATCCCATTTTACACAGCAGGCGACTCTTGACATTCCTTTCTCCCTTATCGTCTCGGCTACAGCCAGTGCCCTTATCTCGTCAGCTCAGCGGAGGAGAGGGTGATGTAGTCATGCTCCAGTATTACCTGCCCCAATACTGCTGATGTAATGTTACCTCTGAGCACCGATAAGTCACAGTGCGATGAGACGAAAATGTGATGTATCTATTACACTGTCAGATGCCCATAGTCATGAATAATTGCAAGTCAATAGAGCTGCAGTGCTATTGAAAAAAAAGCACAATTTTGATGTGTTTGGCACTGTTTGTGTTTTATACATTATATTTTAAATAGTGATGGTTTTAAACTATCTACATCCCATCTGTCCCCTTATCTTTATCCTACCATGCAGTCTTAGGTATGGTTAGCAAATGCTTCAATTCAGATTTTTGTAGCTGTTAAGAGCTTTGGAACATCGCAAAGTGAAAGTACAGAACATTATACTGTACCTCTGCATTAGTTTTGCTATGCTTTGTGAACAGGAGATAATGTTTGTCTGATAAACAACATCCAAGAGTCTGAGTTTGGAGGAATGAAGTTTGAGTTATCGTCCTAATGCTTTAAAACTGCTTTTCTTTATGTGGAAATTGAGTTTGTTGTATTTAAGATGAAAACTGAGTATCTTCTGCTTTGTTTTGATTTATTAAGGGCCTGTTTCCACTTACAGTGTTTTTGTACTAAACAAAATAAATGTATTTCAGCATTTTCAGCTCAGCACCCTGCTCTTTGTCACAGCGCTCTCGGTAGAAAGTTGTGTTTTGTTTTGTTTTTATACTGCTCTTTTCATCATGGCCACTTTCCTCCCAAGCTGACCAATCAAAATCAAGAATGGGCAGGGCTTCTCATATCAGCAGTTGAAGGGAGTAAACTAACTGTGATGGTTTGAAAGAAAATGGTTTGTTTTTCCTTTCTCTTGATGAAATATCCAGAAATAAAGAGAAACTGAAGCAGCAACAGACAGCACTGGAGTGAAGTACTCCAAAACCCCCAAAAATGCTATTAGTGGTCACAGGCCCTTATTTCTTTTTTATCATTTTTTGATGATCTTTGTTATGTGTGTTTCTAGTAGTCACCGCAGCAGTCATCCAAACCATCCCCTCGTCCCACTGCCCTATCACTGGCCCACACACACACAGGCAGTGTAATCTTGTTACATTAGCTGGATCAATTATTTATTGGGGCATGCTGGTAGCCAGGCTGTAATTTCAGTCCAGCCTCTCTCTCCCCTGCCTCTGGTACCGCTGGGGCCTTTGAGTTGGTGTGAAGTATTCATCCCTTCATTGTGCTGCCAGTGGGTTGTTCAAAAACAATAACTTACTTGTGCACAACAAGACACAAAGACAGTTACTATTGACTGTATTTAAAAAAAAAAAAGTATAAAAACAAGGAGGTACAAGGTTTAACAATCTGCAAACTTGACGATCACATTTATGACACAGCTTACAAAGAAATCCACTATTGTAGTGTTTGAGTCATGTTTTCTTTTCTTTCTTTTCTTTTCTTTGTTTTAGCCCACAGTGTTATCCTTCAAAAAAGAATTTTTATCTGGTCAAAAAACAGACTGAGATCGATATTGTCTATTTACGAATGTCAAAAGCAAACACAACCGTCAACTACAAGGTTGATGATTCCTGAATAGTAATTTTTAAAGCTTGTAGCTACTGCAGAGCACCTGTCAGATGAAGTGAGTTGACTTCAAAAAGGAAGTCTGACAGCTCCCTAACAGCTTGATTTTAATTTTGGCGTTCTTGTCAACAGACTTTACCATAAATACAGCTGGTACGAGTGGCTCGTCTCGCGACGATATTGAGAAGATATGAAGCTTGACCATTTTTTCTGTGAGCTGCATGTGGATGTTGGCCAAAAAAAGACAGAAAAATGATAAGATTAAAGGCTTTACTGGCTTTGTATCCGTTAAATTTACCAAAAAAATCTTGGAAAAGTTTGATATTTCTTCCATCAGTTATTTGAGAAATTGAGAATATGGCATATATTCTGGTCATGTTACATGTCAATTAAAATGTTTCAAGTGTTTTTTATTTGAAACATGCAAATACATGATTTTACAGGTCAAGTAACATCAGCTTCTGCAGGATAAAGTCCAGCGCTATCCAGTAATTGTTCTAATGCTTTCCACACTATTTAAGAAGCCCCTCTTTTTCCCTCTCTACAGGTGGTTTTGGCAGCGCTCCAGTGTTCGGGAGCCCCCCTGCATTCGGCAGCCCCCCTGCATTCGGCAGTACGGCATCATTCGGTGCGAACCCTTCTTTCAGCGGTAACATCGGCCCCTCTGCCGGCAAAGTCTTTGGGGAGGGAACAGCCGCAGCCAACATGGGCGGATTTGGGTAAGAAACTCAGTTAGTTCCACTAAGTCGTTTATTTTTGTGCGTTGCATTGTTGCAACCACTGAACACAGAGAGACAGTCAGTGTCACCAGCCTTTTCATGCGCACACAGGAGGCAGTGGAGCAGCAGGATTTTGCCCGAAGCCTGGTGGAGAGTGTTTTATTTTTTCCCCAATCAGAACATCTGTGTTTTCTCTGACTGGCTGCACACTCACACAAGCATGGCAGCTACTGAAGGGAAGCATGGACAATCATTGTAAAACACCCTGGTAGCATTACAGAGATGACAACATAAAGATGAAGCAAATAGAGTTTATGAAGCGGAGCTAGCTCATACCTTGTCTATATACTTACAAAGGCTGTTTTTGCACAGTTTCAAACCGTAGAGAAAATTAATTGAAAAAATAAGTATATTAAGGTCTCGTTGCTGGATGAGAACTCTTCACACCCCCCAGCGACCATCCTTATCTCATTCTTAATGTACAGGGTTATTTGTAGGGGTGGGAGAAAAAGTCGATACAGCATCGTATGACGATATTTTGTCTGGTGATTTATCGTATCACCTCATTTATCAAGTATTGATTTTTTTCAGATTAATTGTTAATATGAATTCAAATCTATGATAATGGAAAAATAAATTCAACAGTTTGTCCAGTGAGGTTGGCAGAGGTGACATCATAGAGCAGGAAAAAGTTAGTGCAACAAATATATATAAGGCTTGCAACATGTGCTACATGACAATAAAATACAGTGAAATAAGACAAACGTAAAGGAAAGACAAATGCTAAATTAGCTAAACAGTTTTAAGAAATTGTATGAATTGCAGTATATTGTATCGCAATACTTACTGTATTGTGAAATGTTTAAAGTCATGATAATATTGTATCATGGCTCAAGCATCATAATAATATTGTATCATGGCTCAAGTATCATGATAATATCGTATCATGGCTCAAGTATCGTGATAATATTGTATCATGGCTCAAGTATCGTAATAATATTGTATCATGGCTCAAGTATCATGATAATATCATATCATGGCTCAAGTATCGTGATAATATCGTATCATGGCTCAAGCATCCTGATAATATTGTATCACGGCTCAAGTATTGTAATAATATTGTATCATGGCTCAAGTATCATGATAATATTGTATCATGGCTCAAGTATCATGATAATATCATATCATGGCTCAGGTGTCATGATAATATCATATCATGGCTGAAGTGTCATGATAATATCATATCATGGCTCAAGTATCAGGATAATATCATATCATGGCTCAAGTATCGGGATAATATTGTATCATAGCTCAAGTATTGTGATATTATCATATCATGGCTGAAGTATCGTGATAATATCGTATCATTGCTCAAGTATCGGGATAATATTGTATCATGGCTCAAGTATCATGATAATATCATATCATGGCTGAAGTATCGTGATAATATTGTATCATTGCTCAAGTATCGTGATAATATCGTATCGTGGGGCCAACAGTGATTCCCATCCCTAGTTATTTGATCCCATTAATTTCTGATCTAATGATTTTTCCAACATTTTCTAACCTCATCATAGTCACAGTGTGCATATTCAGCAGCAGGCACAGCTACGAGCCGAAAAAAACGAGGACTCCAGTGCAGGACTAGATTACTCTCCTCAGATAATCTGGCTGCTGCCTGCAGATTAAACTGGCCTGCTCTCCCTCCGTTTTGCGTATTCTCCCCTTTCTCTCCAATGGGAGTCAATGGTGCAGAGGAGATTACAGCTTAAAGCCCCATCTCCCAATCCTCACCCACACACACACACACACACACACACACACACACACCATCTGACACCTTCTGACTAGCTGGGATGTTTACACTCTAAGAGGAAAACAAGAAGTATGGTGTGTAATCTTTTCTTTTTCTGCGAGTTCAGAGCAGAGCTGTGAACGTGTTTGTTTGTTTGTTTTATTTATCTTGTCCAATCAGCTCTGCTCAGTTTCACTCCTTCATTTAAAATCAGTGTTTACAGCGTTTTCTTGTCACTTCATACCTTTGTCACATCCCTTCTCCCTCTGCTTCCAATCTTCAGGTTCGCCTCACCACCCAGCGCCCCATCCTTTGGCGCTCTAGCCACTCAGAGCGCGCCATCATTTGGGGGCCTGGCACAGCAGGGAACTGGATTTGGAAGTCAGCCGAGCAGCTTCTCAGGCTTTGGACAACAGCCACAGGCGGGAGGTGAGACTACTACTCTACTTCCTCTCTGTTTTTTCCTCCTCTTCTTTTCTTCCCTCATCATCTTCAAACATCCTCTTGCCAACCTGCACTCAGCTGAAGTGCAAACGGGGCAGAATTGCACCAGATAGAGATGTTGTGGTGTGTAGTTGAGTTGCTCAATGTCAAGTAACAGGCAGCATAAAGCAGCATCAGAAAATGAGGTTCATGTGTTGGTGTCTGACTGCATCGACACAAACACGCAGGATAACACATGACCATGTTTTGTCAAAATAAAAGTCGAACCTGTTCTTCTTCTCCTGTCTGCAGGATTCTCTGGAAACACTTTTGGGTCTTCAAACCAGTAAGTATGCCGAACAGTTTGAATTGATCTGTCTTTGTATGTGTGTGAAATAATAATTACACAGACTCACACTTCCACCTGGCAGCAGTGGGTTGCGCCTGAACACTTACACTTTCATATAACAGCTCCTCAAAGACACCTTTCGCATTTCAAACCAGCTCATCTCCCCTCACTGGTTTCCATTTCTCTTTTTTTTTAAATTCTCCTTGTTCATTTTAAGCCCTGCTGAGCTTATTGCTGAGTCAGAGTATGAACAACTAAATTAACTAAAAAAAATAAAATAAAAAATAAAAAAAACGTGACACGCGGATTCAACCGTCAATGTGCAGCTTGGATTTCTCTATTTATTCCAGAATTCAGTTCCCGCCTTTACATACAGCCTAGCAAATAGCACATCTCGCACACACAGTAATAGAGGAGGCAGTACGGCCAGCGGGTGGAGGGAAGTACAAACCTGATACAGAGATGTAAATGAAACCTCCGATGAATATGACGTTACGAAGGAAAATGAACCCTGCCCTCCTGTGAACTTACATCGGCGAATACAGATGGGCAAATAGCGATGTTCAAGGACCGACTCTTACAAGCAACTTGCAAAACACTAGTCCGGTGGGCATGGAATGACTGACAGCAGACATAGCCAATCACACACAGAAAGCGGCCCTGTGGCAGAACCACTCAAGGACCTTGTGGGCGGTCCAAACCGAGGGAAACCAGTTTTCAGCTTGAGCAGCCGTTTGGTCCTAGTGCCTGATGAGTCTCGGTTTGCTATAGCGCAAAATAACATTGTTTTCAGACGGTTAAAACTGCAGGGGACCAAAACAGGCTTTTGAAGGGGGGAGTCCCCGACCACAAATTACTTCTGCGTGGATGATAAAGATAAAAAATATAGTAAAATAAAAACACAAAAAACAAAAGGAGATCATGACAAATTGTTCTTCTATATAATTCTTCGAACCTCCTGCTGGGAGTCCCTGTCCCTGATCTGGGCGCTGCTTGATCGAACACTCTTGTAGTGCTTCTCACCTAATTGCCCCCCTGTGATCAGATTTTTTACTCCCATCCTACTGTCCTTTTTTTCCCCGTCCTACTCACCCCTCATTTCCACTTTCTCCCTCTCCCTCTCGTTCGCTGCCGCGCGTCACACGGCAGCCAGCGTTCCCCGGGGTGTGTTCCAGAGGAATGCACTCTGAAGTGTGCAGGAGTGTGTGGGGAGACGAGGCTTAGCCCATCGGACATATTCACATATTGTTAATAATCCCTCTCCCACTGTTCTTGTTTGGCTTTTATTTTAGACTTCTGTCTACACCATGGAAACAAAACACAAAAAACTACATGCACTGAAATAAAAAAGAGGTGGAAGCACTACGTCAACATTTAAATCATGCAAAAAATCATTTAATTTCAACTTCTTCTGATAACACTCGAGCAACAAAAAAACTAATCTCTCTCCCTCTCTTCTTCCAGACCGGCTCAACAAACCTTTTCCAGTTGGAGAAGTTAGTTCTGTTAAATCTTCTCTGTTTTCTGCAATCAAGCCCTTTGTGCCACATTATTATTAGAGGGAAGGGGGCAGCATGTATCACATTGGTATTAAAAGTGGCAAATAAAGTGAATGAGGTTACAGTTTTAATTGTGCTTTCTTTGTAAAAACTGTTTTGAAAACAAAAAAAGGTGTTTGGCAGCTTTCAAAGGTTGAGGTGTTTTAAGTTATACCCTTACATTTTTAAGTCTATCGTATCTTTTCAAGAACCATATGATGACTTTCACTCCATGCTTCTTATGAAAATATTCATTAGCCATACCTAAGTTTGATTTTGGCCTCAGGATTTGTTTGTTTCCTCCAGAGTTTTAAAGTTTTTGTTTTTGCACTTTGAATTTGCATTTGAATACCCAGAAACTTTCAAGCTCTGAACTTTGCATTCTCTTTGTGGATTATGTGAAACACTGGCCTCAGTGTGACAAATTTCATCACGGAGAATGTACCAAACTGAAACAAGCCTGACATTTTAGACTGTTGTATAAACTTGGTTCGAGATAAAATCTGGAAATTGGATATTTTTTTTAGATCATGATTTTTCCAGCAAAAGCTCAGCTTGATGTATATTTTTACATGAAAAGTGAAAATAAATGATTTCTCAAAATAAATTGCCTGCTCAGCATTTCATTTCTTAAAGCTCCTGTGAGGAACTTTCAGTTTGTGTGAACTTTGGCGCCCTCTGTGGACTTATCTGTCCTTTACATGCCTTGAGGTCCTTACACACCGGGAGTGTTTTTTTCTTGCAGTCATTTCGGACGTCAGTATTTTTTTTCGAACCCGTATCCTGACAATACAAACGTTCACATCAGCAGTTTTTCATATCACGGTCGAATTTTCTAAAGTTTCTGATACTGTGTGTCCACTTCTGACCAATCAGATTTCGTGTTGTTGCGACGTGAGATTCACCAATATATCCAACATGGCCGACCGGCTGATTGTTTACGTAACAAACATTACAAAGATAACGACCTGAAGGACAACTTGTGGAAAATCATACGGTCGGGTCTCTCATATGACGATGGTTTGTGAGCTTTAACAGTTTGCTAAACATCTTTGTTTTAACTTTCATCTTTAACTTTGCGATACTCATGTGAATCAAATTTTTTCTCCCACCCCTAATATTTAATTTAAAACAAAGGTAGAAACAGGACTGTTTCTTCTCACTCCAGTTGCAGGCATAAAAATTGTCATATAAAAATCTTAAATCTTGTCACTGATGGTCTTGTTTTTGTATAAATCTTAGCGTATTTGATAAACGTCAAGAAACTTCCCATTGGAGCTTTAAATTAGTTTTTGATTCCTCTTCCTCTTTCATTATTTCCATTCATCATGAAACTGGAATGAAGCCAGTGCTTGATCATAGTTTGGCTCCCGAACGATGTAATGCATCTTTGAATGTAAAGCTGTTACCTAAGCTGTCTGAATGACGAGTGATTCAGATTTGACAGACCTGACATGATGGAAAACATGTTCTCACTATATAGAGAATTCAACATGAAGGAAAAAAATTAACCTGAACATATAAACCAGATTGAACTGAGCATGCTCTAATTCAACGTGGCATGAAGGATAGTATGGCAGCCTCAGGCGCTGTTTAGATGGTGCGCTAATTAATGCAAAACCCTCCTTGAAATGCGGCTCATTCCTCCACGTTCAGTAAAGAATTCATATGGAGCTATGTCGGGCTGTGGGAGAACGGCGATGGGGATCTTTGGCTCATGTCCTAGTCCTACCGCCGTGGCATTCAGCCACCGCCAACAGAATTACTTTCCTGGCTTATAGATTTAGAGCATGTCTCCTGTCGCTTTGTCCACTCTTATCTGGGGTCTGTCAGCAGACGGGTGGTTGAGGTCAGGGTCGCTCTGGAGAGGCACGGGAGTGTCAGGGTCATAAAAGCTGACCTTAACTGCCCACCTGCTCCAGTGGTCGAACCCACATTCCCCAATAGTCCTTGGGAGATAAAATGGTAAAGCTTTGAGAACTTCTGAAAATAGACAGATTCTTCGTTAAAGATATTCCAATACCACATACAGCAAGAATTAAAGTTCCTGTATATAAAAAACTGCATCAAATGAGAAAAGAAAACATAATGGAATTAAAAAAATATAAGTGTTGTCAAAGTAATTCAAACAAACTGACATGTAGTTGATTTGACATGAAAGGCCACTTATGAATTGGTCATTGGTCATTTTCCTGATGTCTTAATCAATTCACTAATGTGTGATATGTGGAGGTTTTTAGCTTGCAGCGCTGCACACTTGTGTGCAACTGTAACCGGTGTACTGTTAGACTTCAGAGTTTATTATAAATCTTATTGCTCTATCATCTTTTCACTTTGTTGATAAATGTTTGTACACTTGCTTAAAGAGGTGAGACATGGTGTCAGAAAAATATTTACCTGATGGTGAAGTTTCTTCTGGTTCATGTTGTATTTTTCGATTCTGGATTCAAAATACGCAGTTTTACGTCCATCATCACTACAAGTGTTATTTCCTTTCAGTGTCCCAGGTAAGGACGGGGATTACAGCTGCACACCAGCATTTCCAGAGCACAAAGTCTGTAAAGCTTCCAGCTAAAGCGGATGAGATTATGAGATTTTAGCACCCACTCCACAACTGGACTTTTAAATGGATTGAACTGAATTTTTCTATTAATCCACCAGTACAAACTCATGTTTGAATTAGACGGTGCTTCTCTCTTCCTGTTAATGAACATTCCTCGAAAGTCTTCCAAACGCGGCAGAAGATGGCAGCTGTCTTCGTGGAATTCAGATAAAAATAGCCGGACCACCCCTCAACCTCCCTCTGGCCCCCACCCTTATTCGTTATAGTTTCTCTTTTTCTCCCAGACCACACCCTCTTAGTCAGACATGATTAGCACATTATTGCTGGCTCTGCTGATATATTAATAATCTCTACATGTGTCACTGCACTCTCAGTACGCACATCTTTGGTCCACGGGCATCTCCCTGATCAGCACAGTCTCCCAAATCTCTCCCATACAGTAAAATTGTCCTGGTCTCACTAATACGTGAGGTAAGTCTTTTTCAGGTTGTTTGTCAGCTGCAGCTTCTCTGACAGAGCATCGGACATTTTTTCCCTAATGGGTAATTTTGCCTGCACGGATAATCTAAATCCAATAATCCACTAACAGACGAGGGAGTCCTCGCCCCCGGTTTCTCTTGCCTCAACACATTATGCTGACTTTGTGGTGCACTGCAGATCACTTTGGAGAACCACACACACATACTCACACACGCAGGTAGCAATAAGTCACACCATTGTGAAAGTTTTGAAAACATAACACAAAAAGTCTTTATGAGAAAAAAGACAGATAACGATTGGCCATTAAAGGGATATTCCAGCGTAGAATTAAGTTCCGGTCAAACAAACCATAACACCCTGTTGTGAGATGAATGTTGCCGACTGCTTGCTTTTCTAGTTATACCAACTTTGGTAACGACCATGCAATAGCAATACACAGCGGTCACAGGAGCCACTCTATAGCCACAAATAATGCTCAGAACAGCACCTAACTTCATCAACGGTACATATAGGGTCCCAGCCATAGTACTAGCCACCAAACATCTTTTTAACTTTGCCTAATTTCTTTAGCAAATAGACTAAACACAACTCACTCTCTCTCTTCCAGCAGCTGCTTGAGCTAGCGGGGGGACGCAGCTCAAGGAAGAACATTTATGATTATTTCTTCATGGACATGCAAACAGACCGAGACGCTAAGGCAAAAGAACTACCGCGTCTGTAGTGCAAAATGATTAACATGGTGATAATTACTTCAAGGAAATGATAAAGAATTGATCATAAATGTTCTTTCTTGAGCTGCGTCACCCCGCTAGCTAAGGCAGATGCTGGAAGAGAGTAGGTAAGTTATGTTCAGTCTCTTTGCTAAAGAAATTAGGCAAAGCTAAAAAGATGTTTGGTGGCTAGTGCTTTGGCTGGGACCCTATATGTACTGTTGATGAAGTTAGGTGCTGTTCTGAGCATTATTTGTGGCTATAGAGTAGCATTTTGGTTAAGGTTTGTTTATGGCCCCTCAGACCCCTGTGTATTGCTATTGTGCGGTCATTACTAAAGTTTGTATAAATAGAGAAGCAAGCGGTCGGCAACATTCATCTCTCAAGGGAGTGTCTAACTCGGTGTTATGGTGTGTTTGATCCTAACTTAATTTTATGCCGGAATATCCCTTTAACCAATAATGTACTGTGCGTGTTCCCAGCATGTATATAGGGTTCTTTCTTCCCATTACCTGCAAACTGTAATCATTGCAAAACGTGTTTTAACAGCATCTGCATAAGAGCCCTGATGTTGTGAATGGTAATATGAGCTTATTTTAGCATTAAGCGCTAAACCACCTCATCACAGAGCTCAGAGTATAACCGCAGGCTGTTAGTCCCCCATCCAGTGGACACTTTGAAATCTTCCCTGCTTGTCAAACAGTTTCTTCAGTCTGCACATTCACATTTGCCCAAGTCACTCATAATAAATGTTATTGCACATGGATAATACAGTTTGGCATTGGTATGAAACACTTTCACCGGGCAGATACTGGAGTGGCCAGAAATTGTCACAGTTTTTCTTTTAGATTGCGTGCTACTCATTTCCTCTAGCTATGTGTTTGTCCTCTTTTGGAGCGCTCTTAATCGCTCACTCCTGCAGATACCGGCCGTATGAAGTTGCAGAATGTAAGAGCTTAATCGCTTTGTATGCTAGAGTTTCTGCTCCAATACTAAGCACAGCTTTGAGCAATTCTGGGCCAGTGACGTGAACATAATACATGATGGATAACACCCGGAGCTACTGTACGTCTAAGTCCATCCAAACCTCCCAACCTTTAATTATCCACCTGCCTCACTTCCTCCTCTTTCACTTTCTTTCTTTAACTCACTCAGGGATTATACAGTTCAGTGTCATTACTTATCCTGATACTTCAAAGGAGCTCTATTCTGCACGCTTTAATTTCAAACTCTATTTAGTCTCGGCAAACATACACAATGAGCCCAGGCTGTGGAAAATGTCAAACCTCCTTCTTCATTAACACGTGCCACAACACAAACAGGTGCATGCAACATCAATTTCAGCTCTGACTTGGCATGTGAATGGATTATGGAGAATGGGCTTAAAGTCTTATCCAATAGACTTGATCGTGGATGTCAGGCATTGTCACAAATGTCAGAGGGGGAGCTTTTAGCATCAGGAGAGCTGCAGTGTTGCAGAGGTTTAGGAAGGAAGCATAAAAAAAATCTTATTTTACATTGGAAAGGGTTCATTTTATGAGTTAGATGTAAACTCGCTCAGAAACTCTCCTTTAAAACACAACTCAGAGAAGAATGTATGATTTGTGCAAAATGAAACTGCCCCGTTTAAATGTACTCCTTCCCATTTGAATAAAAGACATTTCCAAGTACAACAAAAAAGGGAACTTTCTTAATGTCAACAATTGTAATGCATGAGTCTGTGTCTGGTTTATTATGATCTACAGCAAACTTATCATATGGGGTTCCACAGGGTTCAGTTCTGGGTCCAACTCTGTTTGCCATTTACTTGCTACTTCTTGATAATTTATGCTACGTTTAAGTTATCTCGGAAGT